GTCTTGCCTGGGGATAAGCATCTGTAATTTGGAAATTCTGGCAAATGGGGAAGGACATCATTTTAGGACTGTGTGCAGATTACATCTTGCATCCTTGCCTTTCTCCTGAGTTGCTTCCCTGGTTCCCTCACCGTGCTGCTTTATCCACACTGCAGCCATGCGAGGTAGGTTCGTGCCTCATTGATGTTTGCCTCCTTGATGGAGCTGTGAATTGTGGGTAAGACCACAATATCAAAAAGGCCTTTCTGGATTGCACCAAACAGTCATTTAGGCCAGCCTCCTGTTTACACCATGGCCAACCGGCCGAGAAATCCCTGAGAAAGCACATGCTCAAATGGGACAGGAGTGTAACACCCTTTCTGCCCGTGTTCCTCATGTCTGGAGACCCAAGTAGCTCAAAGGACGAGGGGCCACGGATGGCCTTCTCCGTATGATTGTTCTCTGCCGTCAAGTCTTATGGCAACCCTGTGAGTGAAAGCCACCCAGGGCAGCCCTGACCCACTCTTGTAAACTCGAGGGTGTGGCTTCCTTGGTGGAGTTGATCCATCCTCTGTTTGGTCTTCCTTCTTGTCTTCTGCCTGCGACTTACCCTGGCATGGCGGTCTTCTCCAGGGAGGTCTCATGACATGCCCAAGGTAGGAGAACCTCGGTTTTGTCAGGCCTGTCTGGATTCAGGATCCACTTGTTTGTCTTTCTGTTTGTCCAGAGTATTTGTCCCAGAGAGATCTGCCTGATTTGCCTGGTGTCCTCCTTCTGGCGCCAGGTAAAGTTGTTTTTATTTAACCATCATTTTAATAAACAACGGATTTAGATGTATTAAGATTTTTTTTCTTTCCTCACAGTTGCACTTTCCATCTTCTATCTTCCATTTTTTCTTTCCTTTTCTTTTTAGTTGATGAGGTTCAGTTATATATGGTTTTAATAATAGGTCTTTTATTCTTGTACTGTTTCAGTTTTATGTAAGCCATCCTGAACGCTTGTCGGAAGGACAGGATACAAATGTTTGTAAAAAATAAATACATTTGCAAAGCTCTCCTCCAACACCATGGTTTGAATACTTCCATTTTCTTCCTCTTGGATTTCTTCCCTGGGTGTGACTGGCAATACAATCATGAGAATGATCTTGGCCTTGGATCTCTAGTGAAATGTCCTTACACTTCATGACCTTTTCTACTTCTTTCCTTGCTGCCCTTCGCAGTCACGGCCTTCTTCTAATTCTTGGGTATTGTCTCATCTCCCTTGGAACTGAAAGCTGCCATCACAACCTCTAGACAGTTGCAAGCTCCAAATCTGAACTCTGCAGGGCGTGAAAAGGTCCTTTCTCTGTTGGTCCTGATCTCCCACCCATTTTCTTCATGAGGTGGCCCCATGGGGTCTCTTATGACTGACTATCAACTACTGTGGTGATTGTTGGCACGGCTTTTGGACAGAGTTGTAGAAGGGTTGATCTGCAACGGAGCAAATTCGGAGCAAAGACCAAAGTCTTCCTAGTGGCAAGAGGAAGACCCAGACAAGATCAGTAGAAACCAAACCAGCGGGTTACTTGGGAAAGCATGCCGTTCTTTTTTCCTTTCTCTGCTTTTCAACCTTGGGTGGATTGCAGTATATGGATAAGGGTTAACGGGTTCTCGGCGTGAAGTCTGGGGATTTTATTTTCCATCATGGAAAGGAGGTGACTCTTGGTGGTGTGCAGTTCAAGGTTATGGGAACAGTTTGACTCTTTTAGGCATGGTCCATCCTCCTGCACCCCAAATCCTGTAGCCTTCATTTCTCCATTCTGATCCCACCCACGGTGTAGCCTTCTCCCAGTCTCTATATCTTTATAATATCTGTCCTCTTTTGGTGCGGGACATTGACTCCAAGATGGGTGGAATAGATCTTTCCACTTTTGCAAAACTGAACTGGGGGAAAAAGGATCCGTTCTGGAGATGGTTTAGTGAACTCCCAATCATCTGGTAAATCTATATTCACTGACCCCAACTTTTGGGGCAGTCCTTGCTTTTCACCAGCGTTGACATGTCTGAAAGCTAGACCTTCAACTGCTTGGGACTCTCTGGCCCTTCAGCATGCTGACCAGAGCTTAAGCAGGCTGAAGTCCCAAACATCTAGAATCTCCTGGTTGCAGTTTTGAACAAGGTGCAGAGAAAAGAGCTGGGCAGCTGCTCGAGGCCCAATTCGTAAAGTGGTACCATCATAGGTCCAAGAGCCAGGCCTTTCCAAAGGAGAACTCGGTGTTTTCCAACAACATCACATCAAGCTGTGTTGGGGGTGTGGGGAATAGCTATGAAACATTAAAATGAGCTTTTGCAAATGAACATAATTGCTTATTTAATTACAGCTCTCAGTTGATTGTATTTTAAAATCTATTTAGTTCCACTCTTTTCTAAGCATCCCTTCTAGAATTTGGGCAAGTACTTGGCCAGTGTGTGTGGAAGAATAATTTTAAAAATATTATTTCATTGAAGATCAAGATCTTTGGATTGCAGCTCTCCCAGCAAACCTCAACCATGCCTTGACTGTTTTGCTTTCTCTCTCCCCTCTTGTGTTGTTGACCTGAGATTTGTAAATTCTGTGGGGCTGAGGCCCATTTCTCAATGGAAGGCCTGTGTAATTGCACGAACTAGCCCCTGAATCTTTTTCCTCCATAATTTTCTGTTGGTGGGTTTGATTTTGGGTTTCCCCTCTACAATATGCAAATGAAATTGTTCTTGAAGGGAAGGGTGTGGTATGGAAAAGCTCGTATTAGCAAAGCAAAAGTTACTGAGGGGGAGAAGAAGGGCTGCCCCTTTCCTCTGTAGAATCCGGAGTTGCATTAGCATCGAATTCCACTGCGCCTTCAATTCCGCAAAGTAATCACATTGGAAAATTTTTGATTAGAAAATAAAATCTAAATGAGAGTTATGAATATTCATTAGGTGTGGAGATTAATATGCATAATTATGCAAATTAGACAGCAATTAAACACCGATTCTCCGGGGAAATGATTAGCACAAAAAGCTTTGGAATGGAAGCATGAAATTTTGAAAGAAGTTTCTGGTTAAATGAACAGTAAGGGGAGTGTAGGAAAGACGGGGTGGGGTGTTTCCCATAATAATAACCTTTTGGAAATAAATAAATAAACACACACACACACACACACACACACACACACACGGGCGCACGCACACAATAGGGTGTGTTTATAAGTGCAGAATTGTTTTTGCACTGCCATGTCACTGATACAGGTCTTGGGAGGTTCTGTTCCAAGCCTGAAAGCAGAGGAATAAAATGCACTCTTCCCATGCTCAGGGTGTGTTCCCTTTCCCGCTTCTGAAAGGCCTCTTTCCCCCTTCTGGAAGTTTTTATTTGGCTACCCAGGGACATTTTGCTAAGAAATTTAAGCTAAACCATGTTGGGATTTAAGATATTTTGACCCTGCCCCCTTTTAATAGCATTTTCTGCACTGCAGAAAATGAATGCAAGGAGGAAACATTATGCAGTGTGCATGTTTACATGTGTTGGGGGGAGCATTTGAAAAAAGGCATGTGATTTATTGCATGTCTGCTACAGAGAACCAAAACCGAGTAGCAAAGGAGTGTTTGAGGGCGGAGTAACAGTGCAACTCCAGGTTAGAATGGATGGGATTTGCAATTTGAAGTTCTCTTCCACTTCAGGGGTGGAGGAGAAATATACTTCCATGCAGAACGTGACGTTTATCCAACCTCAGATTAAAAGGGTGGCAAGAAGCTGGCAGCTCCCACATTTTTCCACAATACCTCCTCTCGGCCAGCGTTTCTAGAAGACAAACATGGAGTCAGACGTTTCGGTGAAGTGTCAATATGAGCCCAGAGCTGACCCTGACAGCTTGACTTTCTACATGCAAGGATATCCATGGTTGGGGGGAATCATTCTTCCATGCAGCACAGAGTGATAGAGTAAAATATACAGTAGACTCAACTATCCAGCTTGCGGCTATCCGGCCTCTGTACTATCCGGCCTAGTTAAAAAATAACTATCAATGAACAGTAAAATAAGTTTAAATAATTTTTGTAAGAATGAAGTCTACGTTTTATGTTAATGTTTTGTTTATTTTAAAAGTATATGTATTCATACTGTACAGTGTACATGATTTTATGTTTCCCGCAATTAAGTTAGACATTATAAAATTTATCTTAAAATGTGTACAATATTTTTATCCCTGGACTTCCTTTTTCTGTAATAAATTTTTAAAACGTACAGTACAGTACATAACAAACATTTATAAAGTACTGGCCTGTACTAAGAGGTCAGAAAATATGAATAAGAGCGAGTTTTGGTGTAAAAAGGGTGTTTTTAATGGTATGTGTGGGGTAGGAAGTGAGCATTGATAGAATTCTGGCCTATCCGGCTTTTTTGGTATCCTGCCTGCCCTTCCGCCACATTAGGCCGAATAGTTGGGAGTCTACTGTATATACATCTTGTAGAACTTGGTACCAACATCTTAATGTACATTAATGTGGCAGATATACCGATCCTCCCTCCACCCCAGAAAGATACTTGTAAGCACCCTGTGGTTTTGTGGGTCCTGTGTGTTTGACATTTGCTGAAGTTCATTAAGGACATGCAGACATCGACTCCAGGGCCCAGAGTTTGGGATTTTCAGATGGGTGGATGTGGAACTAATGTGCAGAAGTGGCGGGTGCCACATTAGGCCAGATAGTTGGGAGTCTACTGTACCTATATTTTATCATCCTTATCAGCCAGGTTTCTGTTGCCGCTGTTCCACTCAGAAGTTATTTTCTCATTCCTTCATCCTGCCGAACCTATCCGCTTGGGTTTCTTTGAAGCCTAATCATGTGAAAAGTTTGCAAAACAGGAAGAGTTGGTGTGCTTTGGGCTTTTCGTCCAAATATTTTTCTGTTTGTAGAAGGAAGAGTGAATTTTGCGAGGCTCCCTTTTGAAGGCTTTGCTGATCAAAGCAACCCTTATGTGTTTTCTTTCTCTTGGGTTTGTTCCCCCCCGCACCCCCACCCCATCCCCAGCAGGTCTGGATGAGAGACCGGCGACTGGATCCTGGGCAGCAGGAGAGCAAACTAACTCCACTTTTGACCAAGTCAGGGTAAGAGTGGGGAGTACACCTAAGAACCCTTTCTACTGCCTCGAGTAAAAGAAGAAATCAAAAACCTACCTACTCCGCTTCTTGCTGGGTTGCAGCCGTGTGTCATTTCTGAAAGTGTCCGGCCAGATCCTCTAGGGCAGCGGTTCCCGAACTTTTTGTGTCTCGGAACATTTCTGAAGACATTTTTCCATGGAGCCCTAACTTTGTCCCAGCTTTTTACTAAGCTTTGTGAACCTGCAAGGTTCTTTCTTCTATCATCTGCTCCAGTTGCTTGAGTGCTTCGCATAACATAGCAGGTTTGGAAATAAAGGGAAAGCATGTTAAATATAGCAAATGAATAAATCGATTATAGGGTAATATCCCAAAGTAATTCTTTTGATTATTCCCAACATGACTCAATAGAGTCCTAGGAACCAAATGATGTGATGCATTTCCTTATTTGCTGCTTGGATGCCAACTGCCATTCGAATAGTTGACCTCATGTGGTTTCATTTAAAATCCATTTTAAATTTGATTTTTGAGATTATTCGAGGCTTTTGCAGAACCCTGGGGTGCCATAGAACACAGTTTGGGAACTGCTGCTCTAGGCAATTCATGAAATCAGCTGACATTCCTCTGCTGCTCATGGCTAATATTTTATTTCTCTAAAGAATGTTTGCTGCATTCTTCAGCTATGGAGTCTCCAAGGGTGCTCTCCGCAGAATAAATTAAAAACAATTCCTTGTCAGCAATTGCTTACAATTGAAACAGTGCATTACAAAAGGAAAGCGGAATGCAGAGGGCAGAGGAAACAAACAAACTGAGGCCCTGAGTCTTAAAGTTCTGTATAATCACCAACTAAAATGGAGACAGTTATAGGAAGGCACAGGGGTGATGAAATGACTCTCTGGTTTCCCATCACCCTCTGCTGCAAGAAGGATGCGTGCCCAGTGCAAAGGAAAGATTAACAGGACATTGTCCTTATGCTTCGTGCTCTTCTTTAGCTACATGGAGAGGGGAGCTCTTTGGTAGAAAATGAGAGCAATTCTCCAGGGCCAGGTAAATTCCATGTCCTTCAACATCCTGTTTCCAGTAGTGGACAGTCTGTATCATGACTTAAACTAGGTTTTTTTCCCCTCCTGCAGATAATAGCATGGGGAAGCTAGGCACAATCCTTCTCCGCCGACACACTACCTTTCCACATGTACTCAGGCCTTCCTCGTCTTTGCTTTAAATAAGACACTTTCAAAACATGCCAATTTTCCCACTTTTCTGCAGAGCCTGGTGCTGTTACGGCTTGATTCTGCAGAACATAGAAACAGAGCGAGTCAGAAGCGGTCTCTTGGGCCATCTAGTCTGACCCTTGGCTCCAGCCAGCTCCGCTCACAACATGCCCACCATGTGCGTGTCTAGCCTGTCTTTGAACATCTGCACCGATGGGGCCTCAGCCACCTCCCGGGGAAGCCCATTCCACACCCTTGGGGTCCTAACTGTTAGGCAGTGCTTCCTGGCATCTAAATTGAACCTGGGTTCCCTGAGCTTTGCTCCGTTGGAGCGCATCCTGCCCTCCTCTGCAGGGGAGAACAGGTCTCTGCCCACCTCCGCGTGACACCCCCTCACACACCTGTATGTCGCCAACAGGTCCCCTCTGAGCCTCCTCTTCCCCAGGCTGAAGAGGCCCAGTTCCCTCAGTCTCGCCTCATACGGCTTCCCCTGCAAACCGGCCACCAGCCTTGTGGCCCTTCGCTGCACTGACTCCAACCTGGCTATATCCTTCCTGTAACGAGGGGCCCAAAACTGAGCACAATACTCCAGTTGCGGGCACACCAGAGTCGTGTAGAGTGGTAGTAACGCCTCTCTCGATCTAGAAGCCACGCTTCTGGCTGTGCAACCAAGGGTGGCGTTCGCCCTCTTGACCACCGCATCACACGGCTGGCTCATGTTCAGCCTGCAGTCGACCAGCACCCCGAGGTCCCTTTCACAAGTGCTGCTCTCCAGCCACTTGTCCCCTAACCTGTACTTGTGACACCCATTCCTATGCCGCAAGTGCAAGACCTCGCACTTATCCACATTGAACGCCATCCTGTTGTCTCCTGCCCACTTCCATAGTCTGTCCAGAGCCTTTTGGATCTGGAGTACCTGCTCCTCAGTTGTGGCCACTGTTCCAGGTTTAGTATCGTTTGCTAATTTGATCAACAGATTGTTCACCCCTTCTTCTATGTTGTTGATGAAAAGATTAAACAGGATCGGCCCCAGGACAGAGCCCTGGGGGACCCCGCTTGTCACTGGCCGCCATCCTGATGATTCCCCGCCAATGGTTACCCTCTGCTTTCGGTCAGTCAACCATGCCCTAATCCACCGGACAGTGCTTTGGTCTATCCCAAAACTCCTCAGTTTCTCCACCAGGATATCATGGGGCACTTTGTCAAAGGCCTTGCTGAAATCCAGGTATACCACATCCACTGCATCCCCTCCATCCAGCCATCTCAAAACCTTGTCATAGAATTCCACAAGGTTTGTCTGGCAGGACCTGTTATTGCGGAAGCCGTGTTGTGTGGCCGCCAGCCTCCCTTCCCCATATTCCTTCAGACCAGACCTGCAAATGCTGTTAATTTTTGCCATGGGCCAGTCAGGTCCTTTCACCACCACCTGGTGTCTTCACCTATGATGGACTGCATCTCCCATCATCCCCAGCCAGCATGGCCAACATTTCTGGAGGGCAGCAACATTGAGAAAGCAGGGCTTAGAAATCCATCTTGGCAGAAAAGTCCAGCAAACCTGAAACTTTCTTACTGTCTGCAGAGACTGTAAGCATCATGGAAAGGGGGCGCAAAGAGGAGGTCTCGGGGTGGGGATGGAAAACCCATGTGGCTGGTTCTCATGGGGTGAGGACAACAGGAGCTCCCCTCATGTTTTTCTGTCTTAAGGATGGGTCTTGCATAGGAAATGTTCTCTGGGACACCCTAGACTGAATATCTGTTTTAAAGTCTCCCTTGTAAGCATTTGTCTTTCGGGTTTTTCCTTCTAGCAGGGTTATGGTGAAGGCTCCCACTACGGCGAGCACAGAGACCTGCCATCCCATAACAGCGTATCTTCGTCACCATTCCTGGGATCCGGCATAGTTGGTAAGTTCTGATGTTGCACGTCAAGGGTTTCTCTGTGCATGAAAAGGGCTCCTAATTCAGGATTGTGGCTGAAGGCAGGGGACCTCCCTCACTGCAGTGGTCCAGAAAGAGAAGGCCAGTCTGGCGTTGGCAGAAGGACAGGGGTGGCGCTGGTCCCCTTCAGTATTCCCAGTTGCCCTTCTGTTGTCCAGCTTTCTTCCGCTTTCTGTGCACAGCGCTGTCTTCTCAGCCATTTCTTGCATCGCTCACAGGAAGGTCACGGGGGAAACATAGGAACAGAGCGAGTCAGAAGGGGTCTCCCAGGCCATCTAGTCTGACCCCGGCTCCGCTCACGACATGCCCACCATGTGCATGTCCAGCCTGTCCTTGAGCACCCTCCCCGATGGGGCCTCAACCACCCCCCGAGGAAGCCCATTCCACACCCTGGGGGTCCCGACTGTCAGGAAGGGCTTCCTGGCATCTGCGGCTCACAGGCCACACTTCAGCGCCAAGGAATTGTCCACCCACCATTCCTTGCTCCCCAGTGATCAGTCTTTTTGCCTTCTTTACCCTTCTTCCGCCTGCCAGGCATAGCTCCTAGAGTACGGGCTCTTTGGCAACAAGCATTAACAAACTGTAAGTTCCATGACCTTCCAGGGTTTTGGTCCTCAGGTCTGTGGGCCAAATCCAGACCTCTGTGGATCCTTGGGTGTCCATGCCCTTTCTTCTGGTGGCCAGTGGACCAGCACTTTCCTGGCTTTTTCGTGGGCTCTCCTCCCACACCCCATATTTGAAACAATGGAAATGACTCTCTTAAAGGGTATTTCCTGGCAGTGAATTAAAATAGGCTGGCCTTCGGGGGAATTTGGTGGCACTCCTTTTAGCCCCAGCGTCATCCTGCTGTGGAATGCCACCCCCAAAAGCCACTCCAAATTTGCATGTAACTGTCAAGCCAAAAGAGGTTTGCTGTGAATCCTGCACCCAGAGAATTCACACCACATCCATTCTGGATTTGCTGGCTTGTGCGTTCTCTTCACACATTAATTTCAAGTGCGTGTAAGGGGAAAGCTAAGACAAGCGGTCCATTCAGTCCAGATGCCTGAACACAATACAAGAACATCAGCGATCTTACAGACTTACCTGGTTTGTTTCTTGCCCTGCACTGATCCCGCACTGAAGAAATGATGGGCATTCGTGGGGATGGGTTGGAGCAAGGGGAGGCATGGATTGTGTGTGTGCATTTCTCTCCCTTTCTGTCTCCTGTGTGTGTATCTGCAGGGTTTTATATTCCATCCATGCTCATTTCCCCTCCCCTTCTTTGTCCTGAGTGTTTATGAATTAATTGATGGGGAGGCGAGGGAGAATTCAGCAATGGAAATTGTTTAAGTGGTACGGAAACCCATAAGCCAAAGACGATCTCTTTCAAGTTATTATTTCTAGTAATTAACTCCTATTCAGGGCCCAGCTCGTAATGGGTGAATGCCTTGGCCAGTAGTTGTAATCGGTTCAGGGCTCTCCTCCCGCTGCCCCGATCCCCCCTCCGCCCCACTGACGTTGCCTTTAATCCCTGCGACTCTCCTCCTTCTCCACTCACTGGGAATTGCATGCTTAATAGAATTGATCGGATCTGGAAATGTCATTCTTGTCATGCCCGGATTGAATGGCTCTTGTCATTTAGAACAAGTTTTAAATACCTGGAACAGACCCAAGCCAGGGCCTGGAACAGTGGCTCAAAGTGGGCTTGTTAAACATGGATTGCCCCTGCTGCATTCTGCCTCACCTCTCTGTTTGAATGGTGGCTTTTTGTTCTCCAGATGCCAGACCAGGGGGGTTCTTCGACATATTTACAATCCCAGCCAAAGGTAGGCAAGCAAAGCTTGGTTCTCGCTCACCACAGTTGCGCATAAAATAGGGTTTTAAAATCCCCTCCATTCTTCCATTGAAACTTTCCCCTGCCCACTTCTGCCCCCCCCCCCCAGACATCTGTTATCCCTCCCAAACTGCTTTTGCCACTGGTGGTCCGTGGAACTCTGAAATCGGTGTGGGAGTACCCCAACATCCTGCAGGAACTTTCCATCAGCTCCCACACCTCCTCCTGCCCAGGCCTCACTGGGGAAGCCCCTGAGCAGCTGTGGGCAAGTCGGATTATTCCAGGGTTGTTGTAGGGCTACCATGGGAGGAAAGGGCAGGGGACTCACGTTGCTGATTAGTCTTGTTCTCATTTCCCCTAAGAGTTGATCATTTATATGTTCTCATTTCCCACATACCTCTGTCTGTTTATTATATTTATAACCCACCTTTCTCCCCTTGGGGAAGTCAAGGTGGGTACCCCTTCAAGCTCAGGCCAGCCTTGGGCCTGCTTAGCTTCAGAGGGAAGATGCTTTCTCTGCCCTCAAGCCAAACTAAGGTCATACACTAGATACCTACTTCTCTGGTGTGCTCATGAATTTTCCGGTTGGGTGCTCCATTTTCAAATCCGCCCCCTCGAACAGGCTCGCTCTCTTTCCCACACACGTTTTCTGTCTCTTGCCTAAACATGGTCCCTGCATTTCTATCACATTTTGCTTAATATTCTGGCGTTGCCACAGGGGGTTCTTTTGGTACAGTCAAGATTTTAGGGTTAGGGCTAGAAGAAGGGTTAGCCAGAGGTAGGATTGTCATTGCTGCTTTCCACCCCGCCTGCCTGGGTGCCTGATTGGAAGACCTCATGTGGGTGATTCTTGCAGCAGGCTCCAGAAATCACCTGTGCAAAGCATACCTGTTCTTCATGGATGAAATTCACCTGGTGGCCTGCCAAGGTTCCAAACCTCCACAGATCGTTCATCTCTGTGTTGTTCCCCTCTGGCCAGCCAAATGATTTGGCACTTGCGTGTCCAGTTGTGGCTAAGGGCACTTCCACACATCCACAGACAGGGTGGTTACCTCAACCAGGTTGTGTTCCAGCAGATTTGGTTCACACGCTTGTTTTGTTTTGCTCTGGGCCTGCTCTAGTTTTCAGGTTTGGCCTCCTAGGGGTCTTGCTAGTCTGTGTCTGGTATAAAACTGCCTCAGCAGCTTTACCCAAATGTGCAGCTTTTAATTCAAATTTAAAATCAACCGTAGGGGTTTGAAATGGAAGCCCAAAATGCTTCTCCAAGATCCCAGAGGTATCAAAACTACGGGGATTTCTCCAGGCACAGCTAGCATTATGAACAGTTGTGCCCCTTCACTGTAAACATTTACTATGTGCGATAATCCATTAAGTTAGCAAACATATTCTCTCTAATTGGTTGCTTATTTGGGGTCTCTCCAACCCCTCGGCCAGATTCGTAAAAGGATTCTTCCCTCAAGAATGAGAAGCTGTTTTTTTCACCTTGCATTTTAGCTCTCATCTTAATTTTAGGGCAAACTTTTTGCCGTGCAAGAAACTCAGTTGTTGCAAGAAGGAAGAAGGTCGTCATTGCCTGTCTCTGGGAGGCTTTGGGGTGATGTTGTTTCTTCCCACCCTCCACCCCCTCGCGATTTAAACCCGATCAGCCTAGTGACGAAACCAACTGGGGCTATTTTTATGCAGAAGGGAGGGGAAGAAGAAGGCGGTTGTGTGGCAAATTTAGTTCCTAAACCGCTTTTAAAAAATTAGGTCAGTTAAAAGATTTTGCCCTGTAACCCTTTGACCTCCTGTTTACTTAACTCTAAGCCTCTCGAGTGAACGGGAGAATGTGGGTGGAGAAACTTCCTTCATGCTGTTGTGGAATGGGAGCTCGTGGCTTCCAGAGCACCCCCTGTGGCTGCAGGCGTGGCTTCCAAGCAAGAGAGGAAGGTTGTCATTGTTGGCTGCTGTGCTGCCTCCGTGTTTTCGGAGGGGAAGATGCGGCCCAGACTGGGTTTTATCCAAACTGATTGTTTTAGTTCTCTTTGCAGAGTGCAAATAGTGCACTTATTTTATTTGTTAATTTATATTTATAATTTGTTTATATATATTATATTTATATTTGTTGTTTATTTGCACTTAAATATGGACTTAAAGCCCATCTCATTTTTATTGGTTTAGGCCTGGATGAAGGTTCGTTCATCCTTCCAAGGAAGGGCATAAGTTTAGGGGGAAATCAGGTGCACTGGAGGGATGGGGATAAAAATAAATAAAATAAAAATAAAAAATAAATAAAATCAATGATCAATAAAATCCATCCATGTCTCTGAAATAAGGCAAGGTATATGATGGAGCTCCTAGTTACTTCGAGCAGCACACAAAATGCGTTTTCCCACAGCCTCACTCACATCCTCTGATCTCCTAAATCAGTGATGGCAGACCTTTTAGAGTCCGGGTGCCCGAACTGCAACCCAAAACCCACTTATTTGTCACAAAGTGCCAACACCGCAATAAAACCTGAATATAATGCTGCAGATTCAAATATGCCAAGGGACAGCACAACATTAATTAAAGCATCTCTTTGCTAAATCTTAGGTATTAAATTTCAATTTTTCATAAGAAAACTCAGAGTTAAAATCTTGTGTTAATAAAAACGAACATATTAAAACTCACAGGCAGTCCAAGCAAATATATATATATCCTTGGCAGTGCACTGACCAGCCACGTGAACGCTCAGAGTCGTGGCTAATGAGTCATGGCTCATGACGTCATCACCTGATGCCACTACTCCTGTCCGAGCATGCGCATGGCCCCTATGTGCGCTGTTATCCGATGCTCGGCTGCTGGGGCGATGCTGGGGCGACGTGGCTCGCGTGCCAACAGAGGGCTCTGCGTGCCGCTGCGGCCCATGTGCCACAGGTTCGCCACCACTGGCCTAAATCACCCCTTTCCTCATTCTGTTATGTGGTTTTGTTTTGCTTTTTTAAAAAAGGAATGAGAACAAGCAAACAAACAACCATCACAGAAGCTTTTCAAAAGTTCCCAGCATTTCTCCCAGCAGAACTTTGCCAGACCTCCGTTCATGGGTGGGGTTGGGGATCATGGACACTGTAGTCTTCTGAAGGGCCACCGACACTCCAGTTCTGCTCTTCAGGGACACGGTTAGAGGAGTGAGTGTAACGCGATTTCCTTCCTTGTGCTGGTCCTCGCCAGGAGCAATCATACCTGCCCCTTCTCTGCCAAGCCTGCCCTCAAGTTTTGGAACCGAACCCCCAAGCTGTTATGTGGCCACCCCACCGTACGACAGAACCATCCAGAATCAAGCACGTGTGTGCACAACTTAACTCTGAATCTGCTCCCTCCCTCCCTCCCTCCCTCCCTCCCTCAGGACACTTTTTCTTGGGCATTATAGCAGGAGCCTGTTCTCTCCAGGTTGCAACGTCAGAATCACAGGTGTGGAAAAGTTCCATGAGCTTACGTAGGTGATCACCTGCCCGCAGCAGGTTGCCCCTTTGCCAACCATGCCCAGCACTTACCGAACATTTCTTGCTTCCCTGTGCTTAGGAAAGGGTACCGAGAGAAGCACCTACCCTTTCGGAAGGGAGCCCGGCCTGTCACCCCTCAACCAGGTAAGCCCTGCTGGTTTACTTTTGTCTGTCTGTATCTTTGTTATTAAGTTGGTCTGACTACAGCAGGTACGGCGCTTGCAGGGCTGAAGCCACATGTTTTGGTCTCATGACGCTCCCAGGTGGGCCAGTGCTAGCTTGACTCACCTGGGTGCTTCTTTTGGAGATGAAAATCTGTTTGCACAAGAAGAAACTTGCTGGGACAGGCCCAAGAGTTTTCTGGATGTGGCCAGCTTTCCTCCCAGCACCTGGGGGCCAGGTCCCCTTTCCCTTGTCCCTCTGGTTCATCTTTTTGGTCCATGTGTATACTGCCACTGCATGGAGAGGCTCCATTGCATTGTCATATCTGAATATTTTTCAGACTCACTCCTAGGGTCCTTTAAAGCGAGGAAAGGGGGGAAGCATTTTAAGAGGGTGAATTCTGTCTGTTAATAAGTCAGTACATGCACAAAACAACTTCCTTTTGACAGTTTCATTGGGAGTTTCTTAATTCTGGGACGATGATGTGGGAAAACCCCACAACCAAATAAAACATTTACCAGAAACACAGAACCTGCACCGCTGCTGCTGTTGTCATTTTGCTATTAGATGCTGGGGCTGATCAGTGCTTGTTCACTGTGGGATAGCTTGAAGGAGCCTCTATATGCATGAGCAGTCTACCTTTAAAGATCAGGCGCTGAGAGAAAACCACCAGGGGAAACTTATTTGATCCAGTGGGGCTCTTCTTGTGCCTCTCTATTTATTCATTCATGTATTAGATTTCTATCTTTTCTGTTAGCCAAAATGGCTCTCTGGGTAGGTTGCAAAGTATAATATTATAGCAATAAAATATGCATCATAAAACATAAAATAGATTGTCAAATGTATTAAAATCCCGACAAACAACCACAAAATTGCCCCACAGTATCCTCAGTTCTTAAACCAATAAAAGGCACAGTAGCACAAAATGTAACAAATAGAACGAAAATCTTTAACATTACCTTAACGATTAACATACTGGGAAAATAAAAAGGCCTTGCCTGGCGTCGAAAATAATAATAGAAGGTGCCAGGAAAACGTCTTTGGGGAGCTGATTCCGGAGTTGCGGTGCCACCACCACCGAGAAGGCCCTTTTCTCGTAGCCACGCTCCCTATTTCCTTTAGAGGTGGCTTCCCAGGAAGGTCCACCAATGACAATCTTTGGCACATACATCAGGACAACCTGGTTCCAAATAAAAATTATAGATTCTTGAAGGCCCTGATTGGCTTTCCCAATCTCGGATCCCTAACAAAAGGTTGGACTACAGTTTGACTACTTTTGATCCCCATTGGGCATGGCCAGGGATGATGGGAAATGTGATGATGGGGATTGTAGTACTGCAACCACAGGGGTGGGGGCTACGGTTGGAAAAGGCTGGTGGATTCATGCTTAATCCTTGCTGAGTAGAATCTGTATGTTCAAGATGAGCTTTGTTCTGGATATCATAGATCAGAAACAAGGACAAGGAGCCCAAGCGGCGGTTGCTTTCGTGTCTGGTTCCGGGGTTTTCTCAGGTGCCCGAAGAGGGATGCTTTGGATCTGAGGCTGCTGCAGGGTTCTGCACATGGAGAGATGCAGCTCAATTCCATGCCGAGCTTGCCCGGAGAATGCCGGCATCATTCGAACTCGGAGCCTCTCGGCTTCACAGCAACTTCTCTGGGCTGCCATGCCGTCTCATGTTGACCCGTCCGACCGATTCTAAGTCCCAGCACTCCGGCGGGGCCACATGGCCTGGCAGACACACATGCACACGTGAATTTTGTGGCTGTTTTTACAGAAGGAAAAACCCTTCTGAGAAAAACGGGTTGAGGAGAAAAAGGGTTGCTTACATATCTCAACCAGTCTTTCCATAACTGTGTTTTGAAACAGCTGCGCAGAGACATTTCTCAGTGCTGGAGTGGATTTAATTTTTAAAATCTGAACAGGAGAGCTGCCAGCCAGCCGAGCTGTTGAACGTTACGGGTTTGGTTTGATTTCTTGAAATAAAATGTCCCAGTGGGAGGGGAGATGCATGATAGGAAGGGACATGGGAGACGCAGACTCCTTCTACAGTGTGCTGAACTCCTTGGGGTGCAAGTCCTGCGTTAAAAGAATAAATGGAGCTGAATTTTGGCATAAGGCGTTAGTCCAGGCTCCTAGACCTGGAGTGCCCGCCCCCCACGTGTTGGACTATAATTCCAAGCATCCCCAGCCCACACAGAGGACATAAGGAGAGCCGGTGTGCTGTGGTGGTGGGACTTGGAAGATCTGGGTTTGAGACCCCATTTGGCTACAAAGCTCAGGGACTGATAGTTCCCTCTCATCCTGGCCTACCTCGCAGGGCTATTGTGAGGCTAAAAATAGACTGAGCTCAGCTGCTTTGGGTTCCAAGGTGCGATATAACTGTCATAATACTAACAAAAACAACAACATTAGTAATACATTTATGTGGTTCTGTGTGGCCGCCTAAATGTTTTGCCCCAGTTCCAGCAGCCATTAGGGGCAAAGTCTGGTCTTCAGCAGTTCTGTCCAGCAGAGGGGGAAGAATTGGCCCTTGGGAGTTGCCATCTCCAGTTTAGGAGAGGCAACACGGAACTTGCATTCCTGGGGATCTCTTCATGTCCGCTGGGCACAGGCATGGGCTAGACGGAAGGCCAAAGGGCTACCTGCCCCTGCCTCCAGCAGCAGCTGGCCTGATCCCCTCTGGAAAGACCCACAAGCCAAACAGCCCTCTGCCGTGGTCAAGCACCTGGCATTCACAGCTAGACCATCCCCAGTGCAGGAGGCTCCACCTTTCACAGTCATGCTGAAATACACATTTTCTTGAAGAGAGTCCCATTGGTGACTTTAAGCACTTCCCTCTGGCAAAATAAGCCTCTTTGGACAGGGGCAGTGTACCTCCATTCTGCCAGCTTCAATCAGTTGGGAAGCTTCAACGTAGTCCGTGCGAATGCCTCTCAATAATGCAGACATCCCCTTTCTGTATGAATTTTATTTCTCAAGGTGGATTTATTTTTTGGTTAAACACAGACACTGCCCACCGGCACCATCTTCATGGCATTCAAACTGTTGCTGGTTTTGTGTCCTTGTAGCTCAGATCCCACCTCAGCCTCACACTTGAATTCTTGGGTGAAGGACTGTCCTTTCTAGACCCGCCACTTTTCCTCTGGGACATAAACATTTTGCAACTGGGCATGCCTGTGATGGCAGCCATTTTGTGACAGCGCCCTTGGTGCCCTCTTGGATTCCCGCCTTTGCCCGGATGTGCCCACCTGCCCAAAAGGGTTTGGTCTGTGGTGGGAAACGAAAATCGCAGGAAGTCTTGCTTGGGCTGAGCAGGGCTTTGGACCAGGAAGTGTCTATCTCTTCATGAAAGGGCACACACTATCCTTGGTTTCTCCTTGCTTTGCCAAACAGTGCCTGAGCAAAACTTCTCCGCAGGGTGGGTTCAGCTTGGGTCGGCAGGGGTCCCTTCCCTGCGTTCTGTTCATGCCCTGCTCTTGTTTTGCAGCCTGGCTTTCTGCCCAGCGAAATGGGGATCTCGAGTCCCAGCACGCTGTCCCCGACCGGGGTGAAGAGCGGATCCCAATACTACCCATATGCCAACAACCCGCGTAGGAGAGGAGCAGACAGCAGTATAGGTACGTAGGTTTTCTCCGTGTGTGTTGGACGGGGCAGCCCTGCTTGGCCACTGGCCCTCTGGCTCGTGACGAGATGGGAAGAAACGGAGTTTGGACCTCTCGTTCGCTGGCTTTAAGCCCTGCTGGATCCGTCCCAAGCTCCATTGGCTGGCCGCCTGTTTCCCACACCAGCCAGCAGATGGCGCCTCAGAAGTCCGTAGGTGGGGCTGCCCTTCCCCTCTAGCCTGGCTCTGTGGTTCGGAGGTCAAATGCCTGCAATGAAGAAGGCACCATTTTGCCCCCCCCCCCCACCTTGAAAACTGGTGCCGCCTCTGTAGCGCCACACAAGCACCCTGTGGAATCAGGCCTAAACGCAGCTGCGTGTCCAGAGATGGACTGCCTCTAAATATGGAGGCTCTGCTTTGCCACCTTGCCTGCCAGCTGGCCATGGACCGTGCCAGCCAGAAAGACGTTCAACTCTCCCTGTTTGTTTGCGGGGAGCGTGGGCAGGTGTGTTCTCTGCTAGGCATCTGCTCTTGCTCCTTTACGTTGGAAGACCCCTCCGCAGCAACACACTTCCTGTCTTTGGACAGCGTAAGAAAAAACCTGTTTCTGTCCCTCTTTGAAGCAGACCTTGGCCCCAGCCCTTATTCATGTCTTACATTAACATTCTGCCTTTTTCCCGCTTTCAAGGAGGCTAAGGTGGAGTACATATCCTCTCCATTTTACCTCACAACAGCCCTGTGAGGTAGGCTAGACCTAAAGTCACCCCGTGGACACTTGGCTTCTTTACCATGACAGTGGCTATCATGAATACATTTGTAATAGCAATATAGCAACACCATGGAGAAAGAGAATTCTTCTTTCCAGAGGAGTTGGTGCCTTTTTGACCTCAACACAGCCTGTCCTTTTATAGAAAAGCAACTAGAGTAATAAAATCTGCAAGGCACCATTCTTTGTAAAATGTCTAATAAGAAAAGAAACAACACTCATAACAAAAGCATTATTTTAGTTCAGGGGTTATACTGTTATTTCTAGAAGGGTAGGCTGTTTGTCTGTTGCTGCAACAGCAGGAACGTTCCTGCTCTTAACTTATTCTACCCAGAGTGATGGTGTCCCATAATTGACTTCATCAGATGTGTCAATCGCATGCATTATTGCTGCTAATAATAGCAATAGTGATTAATATTTATTAATGATTAATACATATTATTAATAATAACCTCTTAGGGAGCTCTGGATAGCATACCAGCCCTCCCTCCCTTCTGGAGTTACCTTCACATCATCCCCATGTGGAAGGTCACCTGAGAGAGATGGTGCATTGAGGGTAAACGAATTGCTCAGCCTCGAATTGGTGGATAGTCTGCATGTTCTCTCACAATTTATTTCTTATATATTATTAGATTCCCCCCGCCCCCACGGCATTAGTCATAGGGCTCCTTCACAAATTTCTCTGGGTGTTCTGCTTGACTCATGAGGCCTGATCTGTGATATGGGCCCCCCTTTCTTTCCTGCCCCCAAGCTCCTCTGAAGCCCCCCACCCACCCCCCGGTTGAAGAAACTGCTCTGCAGCAGAAATCTGGCATTCATTGCAGCCAAAGAATCCAAGGAAGCAGCCACGAGTCTTTCTCCTTCGCCCTCTTTCTCTCCCTCTCGTGCAGCAGTACAGGCTGGAGGGTGGGGCAGAATTTGCAGTCCTTCTGGTGTCTCTTCTGCGGACCCTTGAGGTGATATGGGAGTCCTGCATTAATTCCCGGGCAGACAGGACTGTTTCTGCACAGGCTGGAAAAGCCCTGATGCGGCGGCACCTTTCAGTAAAGTTACTCCACCGTCAGAACCATTGGTAGTTCCAGCTTGGTGCAGACCAAGGGTGCGGTCTGCCCATTTCCTTTGCCCAAGGTGGGCTGCCTCACAGCAAAGGGGAGAGAGCAGATTTATCACATTGTCCTTTGGGCCATTAATGTGTCCTGGGCACAAACTGCATGGCTTGCCAAGCAATACGCTTGTTGTGACAACTGCCACCTAGCGACTGAAGATGTCCCTGCAAGCTTTAACCACAGCTTAATGTTATAAATTAATTAACATTAAGCAATCATTTTAAAAACAAAATAACCCTGGCACACACAGTGCTGGGTCCCTTTCGCAGGCATCCCAGCATTCAGGTTTCTAGGTTTCATAGCCCTTGTGCCACAGTGCTTCTGGATGGACAGACAGACTTATTTTATTATAGATGAGCAGTAGTATATTTAGTAAAGGACCATCTCTGTACAAGACAGTTTATAAAGAATAGGATCAGAGGTGCCCAGCCCCTAGCTACTTACAATCTAAGATTATGCTCAAGTCCAGGCAAGGAGGGGTTGTGTGGAAATGACCAGGACTCTTAGGTATTCTGTGTTTCAGGAAAAAAGAGATAATCGTATAATACCATATTTTTAATTGGTCTGTGTTGTTTTGGGGCTGGTCTTTTGAGGAGTCTTTAGGAGGAGGTCAAAGAAGTGAGGTGGAGCACTTCTGTCCGAAGCACCAGGAAACTATTTAGCAATTCCTCTGAGCATTCACTCATGGCATTTTTGGTGTACCTGCTCGGCCATGGGGGTTTTAAACCCTTGCTGGGTTTAAAAAAAGAAAAGAACAGAAAACTGGGTGCTCCTTTCCTTGGTCGATTGTCTGCGCCCTGTAGGGCAAATGTTTTGAAACTTCCCTGCTGCGGGCAGCTCAGCGAGCAGCGTTTTAGTCTTGCCAAAATGGTGAAAATACCCAAGGAGTTCTGGATGATGTACGTCCATTTCCTGCCCTCAGGTGTCCCACCTAACCTACCCTTTGCATTAACTGCTCACACCGTCAATTTCTGTTCCTTTCTTTTGTTCATTGGAGATATTGCGAGAAAAAGGTGCACGCTTGCTTTCTTTGGGCTGAACAGATGCATGTGTTTCCACCCCGAAAAGCAGCCTCTCCTATATTCGTGGTCACCCATGCTTGCTGGGGCTGATGGGAACTGTAGTGGGGAGTACTCAGTCCCCCATGAGTGGGTCTCCAGGCACCCTGCCATCATTGGAAGAAATTGGGAGCTGCAGCCCAAAATGTCTGCAGACTTGGTAGTTGTGGTGGGGAACTGCCCCATCTAGACAGCAAGACAGAAATATTGATTGCGTTTTACAGATTCAGTCACGCTGGCCATGCAGACTGCGGTAAAATAGCATGTACTGAACAAGAATGAAAGACGGAGGAAAAACACTGAAACTACGAATGCTAAAAATACCGGTAGCACATTGCTTGAAATATAGCACTCTAGAATCATAACAAAAGTCCTGCTTCATCAGCCTGAAAAGAGCCCAGGCCTCTGTTCCCGGTGGAGGACAGCCAGAAGCCTCTTGAAAGCCACCAGTTCTAAAAAACCTTGAGCCAGTCTCTCTCTGTTGTACCACTTTGCAGGACTGTTGTGAGGCTGGACGAGCGGCAAGGAGGGAAGTGGGAGATAGGAAGCGGTTGTGACGTTGAAGCGATTCCAGTGGCAGATCAGTTCCATTAGATTTTCGTCCTGCCTATGGAAAGGGAGTGAGGATGGGGGCCGCAAGCTGTTTTGCCCCCTTTGTGAGTCAGTTCTTAGCCCTCTCTCTGTTGCACCTTTCCCAAAATGTAACAGGTCAAAACGATCGGTCGAAAAAGATACAGCTTGTTGAACTCATTGGGTCTGCCTTGAGGGGGATGTGCACTCTGCACCTGCTCAGACACTGGCTGCCTTCCCCGCAGTGTTATTTATTTATCTGAAACTTTTATATGCCATCCCAATACTAAAAGTCTCTGAACGGCTTACAAAAAAAAAAGAAAGAATTACATCTCTGGTCTTGGCACTTCCTTGCCATCGGTTAAGTCCCTGGGGTTTCTGATGCTGCATTTTCCAGATGGGGTGAACAATAGGTGACAGTCCCCGAGTGCCCCCGCAAGCGGCCCTTCCCCTTCCCATCACCCCAAATTATCCTTCTGAAATGCAAGACATTGGGCAAGTTTCTGCAGAAAAAGAGAACAGGCCCAGTTTGCGGGTGCTCCAAAAAACGTGGGCTCAAGACAACTCAATTTCGGACTCGTGATCAGCTGATCAACCACCACACTGATCCTGGGAGTCTAAAGTCTATTCCTGGAATCCTAAAGTCTGTCCAGTACTGGCATGTTGTTATTGTTATTGTCATTAATGTTGTTATTGTTATTTCATTTTTATGCCTCCCCGTAGCTGGAGCCTTAGAATCAAGGCTATGTATACAGAACTGGCTCTTTTCCTCCTCCATGTTGGCATTATTGAATTAATCTCTCTCCATCTTTTTTCCCCTCTTTCTGCTCCACACCTTCAGAGGGGCAGCCGAAAAAGGTTAGGAAGGTGCCTCCGGGACTCCCTTCCTCGGTAAGCCATTCCATTTTTCTCTCCTAGGAAATCCCATCACTTTGGTTCGATTGGCTGTCTTTCTGGGATGTCACAGCAGGTTTCCTGGACCTGCTGTGGCATGGGGCGGGACGGCCCTGGTGGGGTGGGGTGCTGAAAATGTGTAGCCCAAGGGGCTTTGTGTGGGTGCTGTTCTGCCTCTGAAAAGGGGCAGGGGGTGAAAGGGGCTAGAATGAGGGTGCTTGAGGCTGGCTACAGTGGATTGTAGGCTGGTGCTGTGGGGGACTGGACGGCATGGGCATGATGGCCACATAGGTCCTGGGCAGTGGAGAAGTGAGGGTAGATGTCTAGTGTTGGAGGGACCTCAGCGGTCATCTAGACTGACCTCTGCGGCTGATACAGAAAATCCTCTGCCACAGCCATCCTATGGTTAAACCTGCCTGCTTGGGGTGCTAGGAAGCAGGTTACCAGGAACCAAAAACACCTGCCTTGTGTTTTTTTGTGGCTCTCGTATGTTAGACCCTCGGGGCAGCCATTTTTACATGAATTCTTGGAAATGCTGCTTTATTGCCCAGGTGTTCTTTCAAAGCATCAGCAGTACCAGGACTGGTGGGTGGACTGAGGCCTTTTCTAGCCCGAGTCTTGTGAGGTGCTCGGGGAGAAATGTTTAAATGACTCTTCTAGAACTTAGTTCGCCGTTGAGGGGTGTGTGTGTGAATGGGGGTTGAAGAAAGAGCAGCTTTCCCCACAGCCTATGAAAGTCTTTTAGGGTGCAATCCATGCAAATAGGTTTCCAGTTGCAACCATCCTCAACTGGCTTAGCCAGACTGGAAATGCCTTTTCTTTCTATCTAAATTTGTAAAAGACGCACCTTTAATGCTTTCCATCTAGCTGTTTGCCTCTCCTTTTGGTTAAATTTCTTTTCCTGTAAGCTGCTTTGGTTATTTTTTTAGGGGAAAAGTGGAATTAAGACCTTAATATGAATTGATATTAATATTTAATTAATTAATAGTAAGCTAAACTCATGGCCTTCCAGGCAACTCCCTCCTCTTGATCTCAGTTCGATCACAGAGTGGTCCAAATCCTGGAATTGTTGAATTCCACATCTGCGTAAATTATGCAGCTAAGATCCTGCTATTTCCATAATATTATTTTGATTCTGCTTTGTCATGTGGAGGAGCATGGGGTGTAAAGCTGTGTCCCCCCCCCCCCCCAAGTTCCTTCCTCTTCCTAACGGCTGGAGATCCCTATTCAACTGCCACAGTGGCATCTGAGATCTTGGCAGGCATTGGCCAAAACCCATTCGAGCATTTCTTCCCAATCATAAGGACTAGTAACCTTTGAAATCAAATGGCAGCAGCAATCCCCAAGTAGTGCAATTCTTGAGATTCCTGTGCGTGAGCATGCATGTGGAATTATGGCGTTTGTTCTCATCCAAAAAGGTTGTGAACTGCCCTGAGAATTTCAGTTACTGGGAGAAATAAAAACCACAGTTAATTAATTAATTAATCAATTAATTAAAAGCACTCTCTGAGACCAGGTTAAATTTTATTAGCCTTATATTGATTTTGTTCTGTTGACTATTCCTACAAATACTCCCCTTCCCTATCCAGAATTCTCTGTCAAATCAATCTTCCCTCTCCCAATTTTCTCATTTCCTCATGGAGGGAGACACCCACCTGCCCCCCTTCAAGCTTTGCCATCCTGTCCCCCAAATGCCCCATCACCTTCTGCCTTGGGGTCCTTTTCACTATCTCCCATCTTACACACAAGCAGTTCAGTTCGTTTTCAAACGTTCTTAACGAGGTCTGTGCCAATCAGCTTGAATAAGGGAAGCTGCTGCAGAAAATATTTGTATCTTTGGGGAGAGAGCTCCCCCGTTCTGCTTTCTAGGTGATGGGTCGTGAACTGCAGGGAGGGATCTTCTGTGTGGGACTGGCCTTGGAGAGGGGTGTCCCTGGGGTCCCTTTCTTTTTCCGCTGATGGAGGCAGTGAGCAAGCTGCAGCCCGAGTGGAGGGGGAGAGAAAGCAGCGAAGGAGGTGCCGTTAGATTTAATGTTTCCTGTTGGGGGTCAGCCAGAGAATCCTGGACTGCCTTCTGGCCGCCTTATGCAAGGCATCCCATGCTGTAGCAAAAACCACACTGGGCCTTTGAGCGCTGCCACGTGGAAGCCATTTCAACACCCGCTCCCGGTGCACCTTTTTCTTTTCAAAACTCCTCCTAGATCTGCAAATTCCCAATTCTCTTGGCTGCCCCCAACCTTGCCCCATAGGTCAAGTTTATGCAACGGTGAGGGTTGGAGGAACAACATTGGATGGGGTGGTACGTAGCTGGGAGAGGCATGGAAAGATCTTTTTGCTCTAGCGTTATTGGTTAATTAGCATCCTGGCGTAATTTGGGTATTTAGAAGGAGGCTGCGCAAAAGGAAGTTTGCTCTTTGCTCCACTTCCAACAAATTCTTTTAAAGCCAGAGAATGATAAAACATCACAACACGTGCACACTGATTCAAAGGAAAGGGGGAGAAAACCCCTCCTTTGGGGAAACTCGGTACTTTAGAGCCAAAACTTCCATCTGATTCCTTCTCATTGTCTTTTCGTCTCACCTCAAACCCAAGCCAGTGGGTTTCTTTTCCACATTCTTGACGCCAAGGTTTGCAAGCCCCCACTTCCCCCTGTAAATTCAGTGTATTTGAGCCTCTGTCTGGTTGACGAGCATTTCCCTCTCCGTTTCTATTTTAAGGCCCTCCCCTTCTGCTTCCCTACACCCTGGCAAGCACTTAGAAGTGGCGTTTAGGCAGAGCAGTAAATTGCAAACGAATAAACTGCATCGGCACTTGTGATTCCTATGCTGTGGCCCAGTGGGGGGCTTCAGGAAGCCCACCAGCCCTTCCCAGTGGAGCCCCCTGGAATTTTGCCTCTCCCGCCTGAGAGGAGCCAAAAGGGCCAGCACCGAAGGAAAGGAGCTGCCCTTTCCAGTTCAGGAAGTGAAATGCACGGAAACTCGCGGGTGCTGGGTCACCCTTGCCGCTGTTTGCCGGGCGACGCGACCTGAGACCTTGAGGGTTGCTGTCATTGTTGCCGTCTCCTTTCTCAAGGCTTTTATCTGGTGCGTGCGTCTCCATTTTTTTTAAGTGGCTCTCCCCCAACTCGCTTTTTGTCTCCTCCTCCCCTCCCATCCCAGCTCCACAGCTGCCTGGAGAACTGGCTGGGCGCCAAGTACTGGCAGATGGTGCCTTGCTATTATTCTGCTTCACTCCAGTCTCAGCCCCGGCTCTTGCTATTTAATCAAATTATAGGGAAAGGCAATTTACTGGTTTTCTTATTCTTTGTCGCCGGCTTCATTCCCCCACTCTGCCTCCCCGCGTCTCTCCCGCGTCCTCCCCCCATTGCTTCCAGCCTGTGTGCTCTCCCACCCCCTCGTCTCGCCTTGGTACCCTTTCCGCCTCCCCTCCCTCCCCTCCGTGCCTCTCTCTATATTCACACGCACTGCAGAGGGGAAAGATTTGGGAGTGTAAGCAAGGCTCAGCCCCTTTGCCCGCTTCCTCCCACCGTCTCGGAGGGAAGACTGTGGGACAGAAGGGGCGGAAAGCCACGAGAAGGGGCTTTAGCAGCAGGCAGGAGATGCATCAAATCCTCGGACCGTCCTGCTTAAAACACAAGCCTTCCCCCACCGGTGTCACACAAGTTGAGCGGAAGGTCGCGTCTTTCTTACGGGCATGTGAATCTTCGAGAGGGTTCGATTTTGCAGGCTCATTCTGAAACTCTCAGGGCCAGTCTCAATATCGGTTTCTTTCGGTCCTTGGATTAGTAATTCGGATACTCGGTTTCAGCCTTCCCCATCTGACACCTCACCTGACCAGTGCTGTGGAAGTCCCTTGGGGATGAGCGTAGGACCTCCAGCATCCAAAGCAAATGTTCATTCTGAGACCCCAAGTTTTGCACTCCTTGGAAGAAGAGTTCCAGAAGACAGCCATCCGTCCTGGCTCTCCATTCAGTGCCAGCCAGCTCGGGTCTCCCCCTGCTGAATTATGATTTTTTTTCTTTCTTTAATCTCTCTTCCCCAGGATGGGCACAGGGCTGCTGCCCTCACCAAGCCTCCATCCCCTGAACACTCTCCTACCAAGTTCAGCACATGTTGAAAAGATTGCAGGAACTAATCTAGCCCTGATTTAGTAACTGTGCCTTTTGTGGCTCCCAGTGCTCACCTGAACCTCTCTTCCCAATGCTCACCTGAGCCTGAAATGCCTTCTCCTTCCTCAAGCAGGTGCCATTAGGTTTGCCCCCATCCAGCCAGGACTCTTTCCTTTCCCGCATCTATACCCACAACAGTTCTCACGATGGCTCACAAATCAATAATATCATATTAAAATAGAATGTATAAACAAAACATTCAATATAAAACCCATCAGCCCTTAAAACACTGGGAAAACAAAAATGTTTTGACCTGTTGCCAAAAAGAGTAAAGGGTTAGTGCCAGGTGCACTTCTTTGGGCAGCAGTTTCCAAAGCTGGGGTGCTACCATGGAAAAGGCTCTTCTCTGGGCACCTGCTCTTCTAATCTCCTTCAAGGTGGGCTCCCAAAGAAGGACCTCAGGGGAAGATCTTAAAGTTCGGCTGATGTATATGGAAGGAGCCACTCCTTCAAAGGTTCGGTCCTGTATCTCCCACCCTCTTCTGCAAGCTCACTGGTTCACATGGTCCCAGCACCTGTTCAATGGAAGAACTGGAGTATTGGACCACCCCTGTTTAAATATTCCCCCCTGCCAGGAAGTTTACTGCCTCTCACCCTGACTTTCCCGACATGGTTGTTGCACAAATGACGTGGTTGTTGCACAGTACCAGTAACTAAAATTATCTGTTTCCCTGTAATTATGGCCTATTATTACAACTTGCTGCAGCGCGCCCATACAGGTGGCCGAAATGTGGCATTGCAGCTGTGGGCTGCGAAGGACAGGGTTGGTCCAGCCAGATGGCATAGACTGGGGGAGCATGTCACAATCCCACACCGCGCACGCGTGTGTGTGTGTTGTGTGTGTGTTTTGGTTCTCCTCCCTCTGCATCGGAATTTAGACTGCAAGTTTTTTCAAGCAGAAGCTCCAGTCTTTACCCACCAACTCGTGAGCTGCGTTCACAGGACTTGCTTCTGAGTTAATTCTCATGCTGCCTGGTTTGTTTTTGTGAATCAAGCATCACGGGGCTACTTCTTAATCCAAAGAGCTGCAAAGTTTGGTGCATCTGCTTGCAAGGTGGGGCTTTAAAAATGTTCTTTCTCGGAACAGCAACAATGCCTGCTTAAGTTTGCACTTTCTTTCCAAACGTAGGAAATCCCTCCACTTTTATATCTAGTTCAAGGAACTCGCTGTCTTTTTGCTTAATGAGTATTTTGGGTTTTTCAACCTTGGGGCAGGAAGAGGGGATAAAAATGCTGTGATTATATAAATAAAGCGTATGCCTTGGGAATTGCAGAAGGGAGTCTGGCCTTCCTGAGGTGACGCTCCACCTTATTTGCCCCACAGGTGTATCCTCCCAGTTCAGGTGATGAGTACAGCAGGGAACTGGTCGGCTATGCATCTTCCAAAGCTCCCAGCACTGTTTACCCTGGAGCCTTCTACATGCCAGGTAAGGTACCTAGGAGAAGGTGAATTAGCTCTTCAGTGCAATGTATGTGTTCCTTTTCTTCCCTTCTCTTCTTCTAAGGAAATCAGGTCACCATACCTGAGGTGAGGCAAAAAAAAAAGAAGAAAAAAAAAAGCTTGGCTTGGTGCTAAACCATGGACTGGTTTGCTAAAACCAACTTCCTGTGGTGTTCCTCTCAAATCAGTCCTCTCAGATAAACCATGGTTTGCTCACCAGCTGCACACTGCAAACTGTCTGTAGTTTGTTGTCAGTTTACAATGTCTGGCTTATTTAAGCCATGATGTGTTTGGATAGCTGCACCTGTTGTTTCTTCCTGGCATATTTGCACTGCCATGTCTCCTAAGAAGGAAACATAAAGCTATGAAGAGACTCTGAAGTTTTGCAAAAGAGGCCAGAGAGTAACAAACTAGACATTGGGAATATAAGATGGATTATCTGCAAGGCAATTCTGGGCTGTAGCAACAAACCATGATTAACATAAACCATGGCTTGCTAATCTGTGGAAGTACAGTCTGTGGTTGAGAGGCTGGCCAGCCCAAGGTTCTAGTCCTCCGCTCAGTCATGAATAGTCAGTCATTGTTCCTGCTCTGGGAACACTCCTTGAAGGAGGCTAGGAAAGTGAACACCCGGAGGAGGGCCTTCTCTGTGGAGGCACCCCAACTGTGAAATGCGCCCCCCAGAGAGGTTCACCTGGCACCAACGCTTTATTCCTTTTGGTGCCAGGTAAAAACCTTTATATTCACCCAACATTTTAAGGTTCAAATAATTTTAATCTGGTTTTATTATATTCTCAGTCACATCTTGTTATTGGATTTTTTATTGTTTATGTATTTATCGCTTACTTATATTGTAAGCTGTCCTGAGACAGTTGGATTGTGTAGGACAGGATAAAAATATTCCAAATAAATAAATAAAAAATAAATGAAGCTTACTGAGTGACTTCAGGCCAGTCATTTGCTCTTGGCCTAACCTACCTCACAGGGTTGTTGTGCTCTGTTGAGCCACCTTGGGTTCTGTGCAAGAGGAAAAACAGTCTGGCATTAAATGCCGTATAATAACTGCTCCTACTACTCTGTGCGTTCCTAGTCTGGAATGCTGACTACTGTGTGTGCCTTCCGTGGTCCAAAGCAGCAGGAATTACTGGTACTCAGGACTGCTTTAAAGGCCTCCCCAGGGCTGTGAAGGTCTCCTGGTGCTCTTGGCTTTTCGGAACGCCGAGTTGCCCCAGGGATGTGGAAGTGGGGGGGCCCCAGGAGCAAGGAGGTGTGGAAGTGGAGGGGCCCCAGGAGCAAGGGGGTGTGGAAGTGGAGGGGCCCCAGGAGCAAGGGGGTGTGGAAGTGGAGGGGCCCCAGGAGCAAGGGGGTGTGGAAGTGGAGGGGCCCCAGGAGCAAGGGGGTGTGGAAATGGGGGGGCCCAGGAGCAAGGGGAGAAGAAAAAGCGTCAGTGGCAGGAAGTTCTCATGTTCTCTTCTCTCTGCCGGGCAGATGGACTTCACAACTCGGCCGATTTGTGGAGTCCCTCCAGTGCCATGAGCCAGTCCAATTATGGAGCCATTTTGGGGGCATCCTCGCCGCTCCCGCAGTCCAGCAACTTCAGTGGTCTTCACCAGCATGAACGGATGGTAAGGAAAACTGCTTCATGGCAGCAGGGGACAGAATCCAGCCAAGGGAAGATGCTGGTAAATAGCAGTGGTGCAGTGCATTTTCCCAGTTTAATTTTGTTAGTATTTTAATGCTAATATTAGAGAATCCTAGAACAGTAGAGCTGGAAGGGGCCATGAAGGCCATCAAGTCCAACCCCCTGCTGTTGCAGGACACCAGTTCACACCATCCCACTCGGATGGCTGGTTGCCTAGTTTCTTTTGAATGGCTCCAGTGTGGGAGAGCCCCCACCTCTCCGGGCAGCTGGTCCCACTGCCCCATTGCTCTGACAGTGAGGAAATGCTCCTTGCCAGTGCTAGCCTTATTCAGAAGTAAGGGGCAGGCTCCTATGTCTATCCAGAAGGAAGGAGGACTAAATTGCAAACCTCTTTGCATGGAAAAGCACTGATTTTCATCTGGTTGGGGACAGGGGCATGCTGGGAAATAAAAGCAACTGGTTCCACTGTTGTATTGCCCTGACAGTGAGAAAACCTCTCCTGATATCTGGCTTGTTACAAGCCGATCAAATCCTATGTAATACTTCTAAAGTTCCTAAAGTAACAAAGACCTTTGCATCTGTAAAGAGCACTTAGAAGAGGATTGTATATTCATATTTTTAACAGCTGCTCTTGCTTTCAAAAGCCAGGGAGAGGAGTTCCCATTTTATTTTATTATTTTATTTTATCTTTTCTTCTCATAGTCTCAACATTTCCAGACCACAGTATCTCTTTAGGCACAAACGAGTTTGTGGGGAAGAAGGGGGCAAACAAGTCCAGTTCCTGTGCATTTGAGCTTTATCTCTGTGAGAACAACGTATATATATACAATTTCCATATTGTGCTACCCCCCCACCCCCGCCCTTCTGCTGCCCTTTCTAGAATTTTCAGATGCATTCAGGTGAAGTCAACGGCGGTCCCCCATCAGTCTCTGGGTTTTCCTCGGCCTCCTCTCAGTACGGTGTGTCCAGCCACACCCCCCCAATCAGTGGGACAGACAGTGTGATGGGTAAGTTATGAACCTCAATTCCCGGGGCTAGCAATGTATCACTAAATATTAAATCTTTAGTGTAGATTTACCACAATATTTTGTTTACAAATATTATGCTTTCTGCAAGGATGGCACCTTTGCTGAATTTTTAAGAGGAACCCAAAGCATGTTTTAAAAGACAGCCTAGAGTCCCTCTGGCTCCCTCCATGGGTGCCTCTGTTAATAAATCCATTTATTTGCACTGTAGATCGAATCAAAAATGTATTTGCTAGTGGAAGTAGTTGTTCTGAAGAGAAGTAGTTGTTCTGAAGAGGCTTTTGGCAGTGTGGCAGCTAACTTTGTTTGGGGATGCCTATTCCATGAAGCAGCCTGGCTCTGGCAGGATTTTGAAATGCTTGTATATACGGGGTGTCTTTTCAACAGAAAACAATTCTCACTGCTACCCAAGGATGTACCTGCATGGTAGTTTTGCACAGAGCAGAGGAAAGCATTGGATCCAGTACGGGTTCTTGGAGAACCTGGATGTTGTGACCTGTAAAAATTGCTTTGGCTTAATTTTCCATAGCATGGGAGCTGTTCTTGCATCATTCTGGTCCTCATGGTCCAGCCACCAGGAAACTTGTCTTGCTATATTTCTGCTTTTGAGCAGAAGTTTCCCATATACTTTTCAACCATCAGGCTGGAAACTTCTTGTTCTTTTCAAGGAACTTTGAAACGGACGGACAGTATCACTGGATTTTCCGGAATGCGTGCAGTGCAGACCAGCAGTGTGGAATATCGTTCAGTCCAGAGGGGTGGATTCCTTGTCGGGAAAGTGCTTGGAAGCTGGGAGGGGCAGAAGGGCAGAAGCCAAAGTCGGGAAGGCCAAAGGCAAAAATATCTGCACATTTTACCTTGCTACGTCTCAAAAAATGTCTTAAGTTGGGGAAAAGTTGCAGAAAAGTCAGGGATCAGGGGGAAGGGGACACAGCCAGGAGGAGAGAGTGGGGGGCCCTTTGGGGGAACCCAATGGGCTTTTGCACCCTTCCATCCATGGAAGGCGCTGGCTAGCAATGGCTGCTGGCTATCAGCAGCCCGCGGTTGTAGCGCACGTGGCTCAGAAGATCTAAGGGACTGTGCCCTTCCTTGGTTTGTGGCGTTTGGGTGGCAGCGGAAGTGGGGACCAACCGTGTGGGAGAATCACAAGGTGCGACAAACTCCCGATTTCTCTGCCCATTTTGCCTTTGGTCCCATTCGGGGGAATTCCCAGCCTTTTCCTTCTGCTCCCCACACGCAGCTCTCTCGCTCTCTCAGCCCTTCCCAGCACATGTAGGTTAATCCCCCGGTGGGGGACAAGGGGACTTGAGAGCGGCGGAAATAGATCTGTTGAGCTCTAAGCTGCTGTCTGGGAGAGTTGCTGTTAATTCCTGCACCCCCCTCCCAGGACAGTCCAGCATGAGCCTCCCCCTCGCCTCCAGCCCCGGCAGCAATGCATATGCTTGGAAGCGGGTTTCTGTTTACCCATCATCCTCAGCTCACCACCCCGCGGATTTGGGAGGGTGCAGGGACCACCTCACGTTTCCCCCACGGGTGACCTGCGTGCAGGCAGAGAGGCTAATACGGCACTTCCCCACCAGATGAGGCTCGGTTCTAGGGATGCCGGGGGACATCTGTACCCCTCCAGGCACCCTTTGAGGACAGGCGTGGAAGTCTCTGTGGCGTCCAGAAAGAGGAGATAAGGTGGGCTGCCGAGGGCCCTTCTGCTCAGGGCCCAACCGGGGAATGCCGGGGGGGGGGTGTTTTGAGGCACCCAGAGCAAACCGCAAGCCTGCTAATCTCTGTGCCCCTCACTAACCCCTCCTGCAAGTCCTTTTCCTGCTCTGGGCACTCAGGGAAGTTTGCAAGAAGGATCCCTGACACATCTCCCTGCAAAGCCCCGCCGTGACCTGGACTTTCCGCAGGTTTTAGCGGAACAGGTGCATGGGGGAGTTTTTTTGGGAGAAGGAGTTTCCTGGTGCAAGGCACTTGGTGCTGGAAGGCTGCAGAGTCATCAGCAAGCAGGCAAGATTTCCTTTGGGTAGGAGGACTGGATCAAGCATAAAAAGAAGCAAGTGTGGCATGAAGGGGTTCCCCATAGTGTGCGTCACTGCGGAGAAGTGAAATATCTGAGGCGTGGGAGTCCCACCACAAGTCTCGTAACATTGCTCTGGGTTTCTGAGATACTAAGCCCACATGTCTCCTACACCCATGAGGACTAGAAACATAGAAACAGAGCGAGTCAGAAGGGGGTCTCCTGGGCCACCTAGTCTGACCCCCGGCTCCAGCTGGCTCCACTCACAACATGCCCACCATGTGCACGTCCAGCCTATCCTTTAACACCCACACCGATGGGGCCTCAACGACCTCCCGGGGAAGCCCATTCCACACCCTTGGGGTCCCGACCGTCAGGAAGTGCTTCCTGGCATCCAAATGGGACCTTGGTTCCCTGAGCTTGGCTCCATTGGAGCGCATCCTGCCTTCCTCTGCAGGGGAGAACAGGTCTCTACCCACCTCCGTGTGACATCCCCTCACATACCTGTATGTTGCCAACAGATCCCCCCTGAGTCTCCTCCAGGCTGAAGAGACCCAGTTCCCTCAGTCTCGCCTCGTACAGCTTCCCCTGCAAACCAGCCACCAACCTTGTGGCCCTTCGCTGCACTGACTCCAACCTGGCTAAATCCTTCCTGTAACGAGGGACCCAAAACTGAGCACAATACTCCAGTTGCGGGCACACCAGAGTCGTGTAGAGTGGCAGTAACACCTCTCTCGATCTAGAAGCCACACTTCTGGCTATGCAACCAAGGGTGGTGTTCGCAACTAGCATCTTTCTGATTTTCAAAGTTCTGAACCTTGATTTTTTGAAGTTCTGCCCCTGAAGTCTGATAGCTGCTACTGTGGGACAGTGCTTCTGTCTCTTGGGGCGAGTGAGTTCATAGCCATGTCCTTCTGCGCATGGAATTGACCTTCTGAAGCCACATTGCTATCCTTAATCCTTCCTTTGTGTGTGCCTTTTTCCTACTCATTTTTTCCCCTGCTCTCTTGCTCCAGGTAACCGAGGGACTACAGCCGGCAGTTCAGGAGATGCACTTGGAAAAGCATTAGCTTCAGTAAGCGTTGACATAAAAGCTTCTGAAAACCAAATGTGTGATCAGTAGTTCTTTTGTATTTCCTTTGCGACGGGGATGTGCTGGAAAGGTTAAAACTCCCTGTATGTTTTGGCACCAAGTGTTTAGTACCCTCCTTAATCTTAGGAGAGGTGTTTTAGCTTTTTAGAATGGGCTAGAATAACTGCATTATTTCTTTCTTTCTTTAAACATTTTTTACTGCGTCCTTACCTGGATGAGCACTGTCTAGCAACAGTGACACATGCTCTGGTAACCTCCAGGTTGGATGACTATAACCCACTCTCCGTGGGGCTGTCCTTGAAAACAGTCTGGACCCTTCAGCTGGTACAGAATAGAGTGGCCGGGATGCTGACGGGGACCAGTCATTATTCCCGTATAACACCAGTCCTCTACCAGCTCCAGTGGCTCCCAGTTGAAGTCCAGGCCCAATTCATGGTGCTGGTTTTGACCTATAATGCCCTGAACAGCTTGAGACAGGAATACCTGAAGGAACATCTCCTTCCTTATCTGCCCTCATGCCCCTTAAGATCAGCAAGGGAGGCCCTGCTCCGGGAACCCTCCCTGAAGGAGGTAAAAAGGACATCTACCCAGAGCAGGGCCTTCTCTGTGGTGGCGCCCAGATTGTGGAATGTGCTCTCCGGAGAGGTTCGCCTGGTGCCGAGCTTATATTCTTTTTGGCGCCAGGTCAAAACCTTTTTATTCAATCGTTATTTTAAAAATAGTATCTTAATGTTTTAACAGTCACTTTTGGTTTAATTTATTTTACTAGTTATATGTTATTTATTATACTGGATTGTTTTATCGTATTTTGATTCTAATGATTGTAAGCCATCCTGAGATGCTATGCCTAAGGGATGGCATATAAAAGTTTTTAGTAAATAAATACTGTTCCTGTTAGCCTAATGGTTCTCTGGATAGTTGACAAGATTAAATTTGGGATCCACCAATAGATCAGGGGTCAGAAAATCAGCGGCAGAGAAATGGAGAGTAGCTCTCTGGGGAAGATTTGCCCTGTAGATCTGCAGATCTGAGCTGCCTGCTTGGGAGGGAAGTGTAGCTAAAATTCCGCATGCCATCCCCATCTTTAAATGACACAGACAAAAACTCACAGGGTGCAAAACCCACATAAAAAGTGACTCTCCGGACTGCCCATTGCTTCTTTGCCATGCTCTTTGCCAGGGAGTCTCCCTGGGGGGCGGGGGGAGGGGAGTGGAGCTGGGGACGACCACAAGAAACAAGGCATTTCTGTCCTTGGCTGCTATTTTTGTTCCTGGGTGTTTGGTTTGGGTGCTCTTGATACTTTGGCTCCCCCAAATGCATGTGTAGGATTATAACTCCCACCTGGAAAGCACCCAGGTGAGTAGAAGAGTATGCCTGGGTGCTACCTGTCTCCACCTGTCTCATGACAGGGGCTTAAAATTCTGCTTTCATCAGCCTGAGCCACTTTTGTTTCTTCCACACCATGGTCCTCCTCAATAGATATCTAACATTAATAAGAAGCCATTCTGGTAAATTTTCTAGAAGTGTTTATTGGTTGCTCATTCCCCCAAATGGGATCTTCTTTTGGGAAGGAATTGTTATGTGCAATATTTCCAATGTGAGGGGGGTGTCTAACGAGAGCAGGGTCTTTTTGGTTACAGCACACCAGTTTCGGAATGAGCTACCGAAAGAGCTACACCTGGCATTGACTTTGTATTGTTTTGGTGCCAGGTGAAGATAATTTAAGTTTCCCAGCTTGTGAACAGTCAAACTTTTAAACATCCTTAACCTTTTAATGGGCCTGCAGGTGGCGCAGTGGTTTAAACCGCTGTGCTGCTGGGCTGGTTGATCGAAAGGTCGCCGGTTCGAATCTGCACAACGGGGCGAGTCCCTGTTGCTCCATCCCAGCTCCTGCCCACCTTGCAGTTCAAAAGCCTGCAAATGTGAGGAGATAAAAAGGTGCCACTTCGGTGGGCAGGTAACAGCGTTCCGTGCACCTCGGTGTTCAGTCATGCGGCCACACGACCACGGAGACCGTCTGCGGACAAGCGCTGGCTCCCTCGGGCAGGAAACGGAGATGAGCACCGCCCCCTGGAGTCAGGCATGACAGGGCTTAATGTCAAGGGGAAACCTTTACCTCTAACCTTTTACAGTGCTTTTTTTGTTAAAAAAAAAAAAAAGGTGCCAGAACTCACGTTGCCACCGGCAGTAAGCACTCAGTGTGTGACCACACACACCAAACCCAAGCCGAGCAGCGTCCCAAGCCAGGCGGCGCGGACACAAAAGCAGCCCGCAGGCACTATGTTAATGATGTTTGCTGCTGACCTGCTACGCCGGCAGGCGATTCAAAATCACTTCGTGAAATCCATTGGAAAAAAAGGTGCCGGAACGCTGTTCCGGTGCGTTCTATGACAAAAAAAAGCCCTGAACTTTTAACATCATTCCGCTTTATGCTGTCCCACCACTACACCTCCATGCTGAAGAATAGCAGTTGCTATTATAGTTTTTAGATTAATTTCTGTGTGTTCCTTTTAAACTTTGTTTAACTTCTGTTAACTGCCCAGAGAGCCTCAACTATTGGAAAGCATAAAAATGAAATAAATTGTCTTTCGCCCCCTGCTCACTCAAAGCTCACCCTTTTTTCTCTTTCAGATCTATTCCCCAGATCACTCTAGCAATAATTTCTCTTCAAACCCATCCACCCCGGTGGGATCCCCTCAGGGAATCACAAGTAAGTCAATAATTCTTCCAGGGCAGGGAGGAGAGGCAGTCGCAGATCCTCCTAAGAGCAGCTTGGGTCACCCTTTGAGGGGGGAAGACCCCCCCAGCACCATTTCCAGGACCAGGACCAGCCAAACACAGGTTGGGTCTTCCTGCAGAAAAGGTTCACGCTGCATCACAAAACAGCTAATTCCTAAAGAATTAAAGCAGCCACACACACACTATAAATATTATATATATTTAAAGGCAGATATCCTGTTAAAAATAACAGAGGGCAGTTTTGAGTCCCTACTGTTTTTTGCAGAGACCCACCACCGAAAGTGACATCTTGTGTATTTCACAAGACTGTTCGACTTTTCTGGGTTATGCGATGTTGAAAAAATATCCCTGTGGAGGTCTTGTGAACGGGAACACAGGCACATGATGCGTCATCCTCCTCCTCTCAGCCTTATCCCCATAACAACAACAATATTGTGGTTTGCTTTAGTGATTGTAAGCCGTCCTGAGATGCCATGCGTAAGGGACGGCATATAAAAGTTTTGATAGATAGATAGATAGATAGATAGATAGATAGATAGATAGATAGATAACTCAGTGAGGTAGGTTGGGCTGAGAGTCTGGGACTGGCCCAAAGTCCCCCAGTTGGCTCCATGTCTCAGTGGGGATTAGAACCCAGATCGCCAGAGTCCCAGATCCATGCTCTAACCACTAGGCAACACTGGCTTAGTATTTATCAGAGGGATTCGAAAGCCTGTATCTGCTTAGAATGTACTAAAATGGCACTTTCTTAACTGTTAAATGTTTCCAGTGCTAACTCCCAGTAGCCACTTTGACACTCCAAGTATGTATAACATCCGAAGATTCAGCCCTTATCCCATTGTGAATCTGGGCAGCCCGCAGCTGATGATAGAACTGCCTACGGGCCCCATACCAGGTTGGTCGCAAAACCCTGGATGCAGAAATTCTTAGTGCCTCTTCTACTGGAATTTATTTACATGGCTTGAGCATGAAAACTCTTAAAAACTGTTCTGAGTTTTGTTTTGTTTTTAATTTTTATTTTTTTCACATCTTCACAACATTTCGGTGATTGAGACAGAAAATACCACGAGGGCTACTGAACTTTTCCTTCTCTTCTTTGGTGGTTTTGGGGTCTTAAACCTTTCATAAGTTTGGGATGAGCATTTGAGACCTTGGGGGGAAACAGTTGTGGGGAGGAAACGAGGCGTCTGACGTTTGTGATTCCCTGGCTCCATCTAGTGCCACATGGAAGAATTGCACGAGCCGGTCACTTGCCCAGGGAGCAGATACGGCACTTTTGCCGCAACATCAGACATTCCCGTTCCCTTGGTGACAATTGACCCATCAAAGAAATGGTTCTCTTTCACCTCCAAGCGATTGCCCTCATTCGCTAGTGCTTGGAAACGATGCCTGAGGCGGTGGCCAAGGTTCGTTTTGGCTCCCGTCTGCCTGGCCCAGGAGCAGTCCTTTCGGAGAGACTGCAGTTTTAGCCAGGGGACTGGCTGCCCCACATTAGACAAATTCATAGGGGGGGTCAGTTACCCATGCCTTCGTGTCAGTGGGGCGTGTGCAAGTTCCAGCTTTAGAAGCAGAAGTGAGCTGTTGTCCTTGCGTTCTTTCTCGTTCGCTGCATGCTAAGATGGAAGGTGCAATGCCAGAAAGCCACAGCACCCCTCGCAGCCTTTGCCGCGGCCCACAAGCATCCCAGCTCAGTCGAGGGTGTCAGGATAGGTGTGAGTCTGAGTCACGTGGTGTTGGCGGCCAGTGCAGGGCACGGCTTTGAAATTCACAAACAGCACAGCTGAAGATCTGCCCTGAGCCACGTTGCACTGGGAATGTATATCCGTGGATGTTTCTCTGTGCTCCAGAAGGTGTCTGATCCACAGCTAAAGCTCTTCTCCGTCTTTCTCTTCCGTCCCAGGTTCTTCACAGTGGCCCCGCACAGGTGGACAGGGTGCTTTGTCACCTAGCTACGAAGGGACCCTTCATACCTTGGTAAGCATCTCTGAATTTTCTCAGACATCGCATCTGTCTGGAAGTGGCTAATGAGCTAAATACATTGCCTGGTTCCAACCCTTTTTATTTTCCCATTATTTTAACGTTTAATTGGTTTTAATGTGGTTTTATATTAGTGAATTATTTATTTGTTTGTTTGTTTTAAACTTTTGTATACTGTCACCACATGTCTTGGCATCTCGGGATGGCTCACAATACATACAATTAAAAATAGTAAAATGATCTTTATGAATAACAAATTCGATAAAAGATTACATAAGGACAAAAAACCGAAAACAAAAAGAGCGACACTTCAGCGATAAGATATTAGTTTTTAAAATAGCAATTACATAAAACGGTTTTAACCTGACACCAAAAAGAATATATTTATTTTATTTATTTAAAACTTTTATGTGCTGTCACCACATGTCTCGCATCTCGGGACGGCTTACAACGTCCCGAACTCTGCGCCAGGCGCACCTCTCCAGGGAGCACATTCCATAATTACTGGATGTTGTGCCTTATTTTATCTGTTGCTTTGTTGTACACCTTTCAGAGATGCCAGTAGAGGGATGGTATATAAAAGCCTTAAAATAAAAAAAAACTGTTTGTTTGTTTGTTTGTTTAAAACTTTTATATGCCGTCCCTTCTGCATGGCATCTCAGGACAGCTTACAATATTGGTACCTCTTAGCAGAAGCTTCACTGTTTCTGGTCTCCTACAGAATTTTTGCATCTTGGGCAAAAGCAGGTGTCCATTCTTAGCTTTGGTCCCTGTTTCTAAAAGAGGATGGGTATGTTTTACCAACAGAAGCAAGAAAAGGAAACCTGAATTCCACCTTCATACCCTTTCCCTGCATTCTTCACTAGTTTCCCCTGTACACATCTAGAATACTACTTCATCTATGTCTGTGCACCCAGATTTAAGAAAGGTGCAGAGAAATTAGAAAGGGCCCAGTGGAGGGCAACAAAGATGATCCAGGGTTTGGAAGCGCTGCCTAATGAGGAGAGACTGAGAAAACGGGGCAGACATGGTTTGGAAGAGCCGGGAGGGGAAGCATTGCCCATGGAAAGAGACTGAGAGAACTCGGCCCTGAGAAGAGAAGGCTGAGGGGGACATGATATCCCTCTATAAGTCCCTCACAGGCTGCCGCAAGGAGGAAGGCCAAGATCTCTCCTTGCTGATGCCAGAGTGCAGGACGCGGAATAATCAGCTCAAGTTGCGACAACCCAGATTCAGGCTGGACGTCAGGAAAAGCGTCCTCACTGCCAGGGCAAGACAGCAGTGGAACCGGATGCCCGGAGAGGTGCTGGGCTCTCCCACACTGGAGACATCCAAGGAGAAACTGGACAGCCCTCTGAGTGGGAGGGTGTGAACTGGTGTCCTGCAACTGCAGAGGCTGCTGGGCCCGCTGGCCTTCATGGCCCCTTCTGACTTCCCTCTTCTGCGTTTCTCCCTGCCGGCCCTTTGTGTCTCAGCCACACCTGCAGTGACCATGTCTCCTCTTCCCCGCAGCAAAACAAAATGGAGGACCACCTGGATGAAGCCATCCATGTGCTGAGGAGCCATGCGGTGGGCCAGAGCAACCACAGAGAGATCCATGACTTGCTGACCTCGGCGTCCGCGCACAGCACTTCTGCCAGCGGCCTCAGCCAGCCCTTCCCCGCTGCCGCGGTCTTGCCGATCACCAGCCGACACTCCAGCCTGGTAAGAGGGTCCAGCACACACGGGACAAGCGATTCCTTAGAAGTTTGCACTCGAGGGCCGAGGTGCGCGAAGAACCGCGCAGTAGCTTTCCTGCCAGGCTCCAAGACAGTCCCGGCAGTGCCGACCTGTAGTGCCCTATCCCGCTAGAGAATTCTAATAGCTCTCTAGCGGGCTGAGTGAGAAGCCTCTGCTCATGTCAAGAGTGCTGAGCCCAGACTGGGGCTTCTCCCAAATCCTTCCCATTCAGTAACTTTGTGGGTCAGGGAGGCTCTCACCGGTGCAGAGCCAGCCAGCTGGGACTGGACAAGCCCTCCAGCTTGTCTAGGACGAGGCATCGGCTCTCACTCCTCGCCTGGGTCCCCTCCCAGCTCTTCCAAACCATGTCTGCTCCCACGGTTGGCCAGGGAACTGCAGGCCTTGATGGGGCTACAAAAGCTTCTGCGCCCCTTGGATCCTCCTGCCCAGCCCATCCCAGAAATGATTACCTCCTGCAGTGCAACCTCGCCTTCCTTTTCATGTCCCCCGGCAACTGGTGTACAGAGACATCCTGCCCCAGATCCTGGTGGTAGCATACAGTCATGAGGATGAGTGACCATGAGGACTAGTAACCTTCTCCATGAACTTGTCCAGTCCCCTTTTAAACCCAGCCCAATCGTTGGCCCTCACCAGTGGAGGTAAATTCCACAGTTTAACGCAGCTCTGTGTGAAGAAGTTCTTCCTTTGGTCTGCCCCAGATGTCCCACTGGTGAACCTTGCGGGACGGCTTCTTTGGGTTCTGGAAGAGGGCAAGAAGGTCTCCCGGTCCACCTTCCCCCACTGCCCCCAGTTTGGGGAAGAGGCACAGTTGGAAGCCTGGCCTCTTGACTGCTGCCCGGCTCTGCTCTTTGGAGTGTCTCCACATTGTCTGCATCACAGAAGGTGTTGTCCTGCGGACGTTTGCAGAGTCCCAGCAGGGAGAGCTGCATCATGTGCTATCAGCCAAGTCAACTGGGGGAAAACAGGACCCAGCGCTCAGAAGCCTCTTTCCATCCATCATAGGAATCCTACCTATTCCCTCTCCTGAGGTTTCAGGCTCCCAAACCCATCCCTGGGGTCATGAGGGCTAGAAACTTAGCTTTCGATGAGGCTGATGAAATGAGAGCGAACTGTGTGGCTCACCTCCTTCTGTTTTCCTGTTGCAGGTTGGGGGAGGTCATGCTGAGGATGGCCTCGCCAGCAACACCAGCCTACTCCACAACCATGTCACACTTCCAGCCCAGACTAGCTCACTCCCGGACCTCAACCGAGGCCAGTCTTCAGACGCCTTTAGTGGTAAGGCTGAAGTGCTTGTTTTCCGTTGAAACACCAAGTCCCTGCTGGTGCAGCTGAGCAAGCAAAAGAGGGAGCCAGTTGTGAGAACGGCTTTCCCAGACTGGACTGGGCTCTCAGCAAATTGCCCTTCAGAAGTTCACAGACAGCAAACAATACCTGTTGCCTGCACCCAGTTCTTCTGCATTCCAAGATAGACTGCCATGGAACGCAGAGGTTCCATTCTGTCCCCTGACCCACTTCACTCTGAAAGGCTGACAAAGCTGCCACAATCACTGTTTAGAATTTTGAACCATCCTCCATTCTAAAAGCAATATGCGCACTGTTTATTTTTTATGACAACATTCCTTTATTACATTTTTATACTGAGCAGGGCAGTTCACAACCATTTAAAAACAATTTAAAACATGAAATACAGTATAGAAACATAGCGAGTCAGAAGGGATCTCCCAGGCCATCTAGTCTGACCTCCGGCACCAGCCGGCTCTGCTCACGACATGCCCACCATGTGGACGTCCAGCCCATCTTTGAACACCCGCACCGAAGGGGCCTCAACCCCCTCCCGGGGAAGCCCATTCCACACCCTCGGGGTCCTGACTGTCAGGAAGTGCTTCCTGGCATCCAAATTGAACATTCTAATACAAAATTTAAAGAATGAGAACAATACATTTTTAATTATTTGCATTAAAAAAGAAGATACAGAAAATAAAAGTGGTAGAAAAAAAGAATACCAAGGGATAGTACAGTAATATAGCACATTATTTCAACATCTATTTAGTTTATAGAAAAGCAAGAAATTCTCTTCTACCTACAGTTAAGTCAATCAGTTCTTAATTAGAACTTGTAAACAAATTGTTCTAGTTTGTAATTCTTTAAGCCAACTAAATGTCCAGTCTTTCCAAACTATTTATTTATTTATTTAGAACATTTCTATGCCGCCCCATTTGCAAAAAGCCTCTGGGTGGCTTACGAAACAAATAAACAATCATATAATTAACCTTAAAAAATCCGGAAACTTCTCGGCACAAGTATAAAAACCCAATAAATACAATCAATAATTAACAATTAAAATAACTTTTAAATAAAAATGTCTTAGCCTGGCACCGAAAAACAAATAATGATGGCACCAGGCGGACCTCTCTGTGGAGCGCATTCCATAGGTGGGGCGTCACCACAGAGAAAGCCCTCCTCTGGGTACTCACCCTCCTAATATCATTCACAGAGGGTTCCCGGAGAAGGGCCTCTGCTGCCAATCTTAGAGGGTGGGAGGGCAAATATGGAAGAAGGCGTTCCTTTAGGTATCCAGGTCCCAAGCCACTGAGGGCTTTATAATCACCAGCACCTTGAATTGGGCCCAGACTTCATAATAAATAGCATCATAGCTTTGACATTAAGATAAAGCTCAGTAATCATATTTTAATGAATTCTATGACATCACAAAAGATTTTAAATACAGTTTACAATTTAACATATGCTGAAGCCGACCATTCTTGGGAGAATGGCTGAGAAAACCAGAAGGGCTTCACCTGGCACTGGAAGAAGGAGAAAGCTGGTGCCAGGCAAGCCTCCCTGGGAATTTCATTCTGTGGGTGAGGTGCCACAGCAGAAAAGACCCTGTCCTAAGGAGCCACCCACCTGACCTCCTCTGGCGGGGGCCGGACTTGAAACGCCTCAACACAAGAAGAACCCCGCTGGGAGTAGCAACCCAGCATCCCACCTTGCCGGAGATGGTCTCCTTCGCCCTCGCTGAGCCCCATTTTCTAGGGACACCTCCCTGCCACTCCCTAGAATGCTGCAGAAGGATTCAGCTGCTCTCAGCCCCAGATACACCTTTCCCTACTGTCACTGGATATTCCTTGGTTGGGCTCCTCAGAGCCATCGCTGCCCCCAGCTGTCTTTTTGCTACATGACACCAACACCGCACCACCCCTATCCCTGGCAGATGGGCGGTCCAGAAATACGCTCTTTTCTTTCACTGAAAGGGCAACTGAGACTTTCCAGGGCTTGTGCACAGAATCTGTGTGCACAGGTCTCTTTGGGTGTGCCACAGCTTGGCGCCTAAGCCATGGGGGGTAGCTGCTGCCCCACAAGCCAAGGGGTCCCTCTGCATGCGTCAGCCGGTCTGCGCACCAAGTGGCGCCCTGGGAGTTTGTGGGGAGGAAGGCGGAAGCAGATTGCGTGCAAAAGGCAGGGAACTGGGGCTGAGTCGCTTCGCCTGCCCCACAGTGGAGACGCTTGCCCTGCAGCCTAGCAGAAGTATGGGGTGAGGCCACCCCTGGGGTCGCACCTAGAAGTGCTCTCACCCCTTTCTCCTAGCATAGGGCTTTTCTTTCTGTGTTCGGGGTGAGGCTGAATAGTTTATTTATTTAAGACATTTGTATGCCGTCCTTTGCAAGAGCCTCAGGAAAGCTTACACGAATAAAATTCCAAAAAACATAACAATCTAATATAATATTATAAATAACATAAAAACATTCCACAATATAATTAATACAGATAATAAAAAAATAAAAACTCAACTGTATACAAATTAGCAGTATTGTTAAAATAGTATTAGTTGTTAAAATGAGGATTCAATGAAAAGGTCTTTACCTGGCGCCAAAAAGAGTAGAGGGTTGGCGCCAGGCAGACCTCTCTGGGGAGCATGTTCCATAGTCTGGGTGCCACCACAGAGAAGGCCCTCCTCCGCATGGAGACCCTCCATACCTCAGGTAGGTCCCTTCTCTGTCGTCCCCTCCTATGGTCAGACTGTGGGGTCACAGTCCTGGCTCCCCATAGAACCCCCCTCCCAATAAGCATCAGCTGGTGGGAGCCATTCCTTAATAGGGCTGGCCTCGGTGGAGGACTGTGCGCTGATGCTGGGTTGTCGCAGCTCCCTTCTCGCCACCAGGCCTACCTTAATTTTAAAACATTTTGTGGCCAGAGCGGCTGGCTGAGGAGTGCATTGTTTCTGCGCTGCTCACTTTAGCATTTCAAATATCTTCTGCCGTCGGGCAGCCCAAGGCGTCTTCCTGCATTCTGTGTCAGGGCGGGAGACTCCGCTTTATTCCTGCTTTATGAGGGGGCTGCAACACACGCGCATGTGAGCTCTTTGGCCTTTTAAAGTCTCTCTTCCTTTCCGCAGACGGGCACACAGGTTTTAAAGTACAATTAGGGCTTGCATGTATTGGGAATGCAAAAGCAGCTGGGAAACCGGGAATGGGGAGACTGTGGGCAAGTAGAAATGTTTGCATGGTGCTTCATGGCTAAAAGGATTGGCTTGGCTGCATAAAGGGGGTCCAGGGGTCGTCCGGGTGCAGCTGCGTTTCTCACCTGCAGGTCTGTTTCCTTCGCAGGCTTGACCGGAGGGCTGGGCAGGGGGAGTGTCTCATCCGGCACCAGCGAGATCAAACGGGAGGACAAGGAAGACGATGAAAACACCTCTGTGGCCGACAATTCGGAGGAGGAGAAAAAGGAGCTCAAGTCGTCTCGCAACAGAACAAGGTGCCCAATAAACAGGTGTCCACCTTTTTCTGTTCCCGTTCTGGGGCTGGCAGGGTGGCCGGGAAGGGAGGAGGAGGGAACAGCCCCTTCCCCGCTCCAAGGGACCCTCACACTTTTTTCAGCTCACAAACCGGGCTAGAGAATCAACCGCAGCAGTGTGGCTGCTTCGAACTCCTTGGCGCTTCCGGCAAACGTCGCGGTAGGAGCTTCCGCACTAACTTGATCGGGGCCGATCTGGGCAAACAGGCCTCGGCTTCTAGGGAAACGGCAGCGATGGTTCCAGCCCTGTCTCTGAGCCCCGCCAGTTCGGTTTTTTGTTAACGGTGTTTTCAGATTTGCTTTTGTTAGTGCTGTGTGTGTAAGAACAGACAATCCATTCTGATTTTCTGCTCCCCCCTGCACCATGCAGCGTTGTCTGGGTAGACGTGCTTGGCCATTGCGACGACTCATCGCACCTCTTCCCAGACCACAGGAATCCTTCGTCAATAAGATTGCGACGGCCGGCATTGCCCTGCAGCCGTGCTCCTCGAGGGACCGCGGGCAAACCTCTCTGCACTTGCTCAGCTCCCCAAGCAGCATTTGACTGCTTCCTTCTCCAGGGGGTTTCTGGGACACAGTTTCTAACTCACTGACCCTCAAAGGCTGCAGAGCAGAAAGGAGAGGCTTCCCACCTCTTCCAACTCAGCAATACGGTTTTTAAAGAGCGCAGTGGCCGATGCTTTGTTTCGTTTTGCTTTCGTTTTGTTGTGTACGGGCACACGAGTTGGCGATCCTGTTTTTTTGCAATGTGAACTTGTTCCGGTGCTGAGGTGTGCACACAAGAAAAATGTCCCCCTCCCCTTGTTTCATTCTTATCTCAAATTATCAGTCACGATGAGGATGAGGAAGACGACCTCCTTCCCCCAGAGCAAAAAGCCGAGCGAGAGAAAGAGAGGCGGGTGGCCAATAACGCCCGCGAGCGCCTGCGTGTCCGCGACATCAACGAGGCGTTTAAGGAGCTGGGTCGTATGTGCCAGTTGCACCTTAACAGCGAAAAGCCTCAGACCAAACTCCTAATCCTACACCAGGCCGTGTCGGTTATTCTGAATCTGGAACAACAAGTTAGAGGTCAGTGAGCTTCCGACGTGGTGACATTTCACAACGGCATGGGCTGTCTGTCTGGTCCTCCCAACCCCCCTGGCCTGCACTGTGGGGGCACGCCTGCCCAGCACTCTCCGCCCCCGATGCTCCCTCGGACCCTCGTGCCCTCCTCCTTGTGGAGCCTTCTCGGTTTTGTGTTTCGCTTCTCTCTCCCGTTTTTGTTTTCTTTCCGTTTGGCTCCCTCGCTCTCCCATTTCGCATTTGCAACGGGAACCCAACACTGGCTCTCTGCATGCTGCCCTTGTGTCTGTGTGGGGCTCCTCTTCCTCTCCTTCCTGCGTAGGGCTGGACGGCGGTTCATCCTGTACCCAATTGCTGTAGCGCCCAATAGCGGGGACCCGAGGTTCTGGAGAGGGGCCGCAGCGGGGACCCGAGGTTCTGGAGAGGGGCCGCAGCGGGGACCCGAGGTTCTGCAGAGGGGCCGCAGCGGGGACCCGAGGTTCTGCAGAGGGGCCGCAGCGGGGACCCGAGGTTCTGCAGAGGGAAACAGCAGGGACCCGAGGTTCTGGAGAGAGGCCACAGCGGGGATCCAAGATTCTGGAGAGGGAAGCAGCGGGGACCCGAGGTTCTGGAGAGGAAAGCAGTGGGGACCCGAGGTTCTGGAGAGGAGAAAGATTGACTTTCTCCCACACGGAGCTCTTAGGATAAGGTTTACACAAACCTGCACATGCAGCTTCCCTCATGAAACTTCCTTTATTCCTCTAACCCTTCCCATATATCTTTTTCTTATCAGCATATCCTTAAGGGTTAACCATTGTAGGCACAGCTAGGGAGAAATCCACAACCCGAAAGCAGATCACGTCATTCTGCAGAGCTGCGATTCACCCCCATGCGGGGCCCTTCCTGCAAGAAACATGGGTGGGAGGTTCTCACCGGCGAGCAGCTGTTCCCTGCAAGAGGGATGCCTCCCTGAAGCCCATAGTGAACCCGAAGGGTGCCAAGCCGCACGCCCCCCGCAGCCCAGATAAGTTCCCCGTGGGGAGCCTTGGCTGCTTTGGTTCAGACTCTTCGTTTCCAAAGCCTGGGATGCCTCTCCTAGTAGCTGGAAGAGCTGTAGCCTCAGGTGCGTTGCTCTTTTGCCCCACCCCTTTTGTGTCAGCCCCGCCCACGCTCGGAATTCAGCTGCCGGGAAAATCTCCGGAATGGAATTTGGCCCCCAGACTGAGTGGTTCCACAGCCCAGGTGCAGGTTCTCTGGCCAGGCATTCCATGGGAAGATGGCTGGGTAGACATGTGCCCCTCTCTCTCGCTCTCCCCTCCCTCTCCCTCTCTCTCTCTCTCTCTCTTCCCCACACATGACACTTAAGCTGGGAGGGCATATTTATCCATAGCAGCTTTCCACCCTAACAGGTATTAAAAATGACTCAAACATGCACAAGTGCTTTAACTTCCTCAGCTGGGGGAGTTAAAGCATAGCCTAGGATTATTTATTTATACATACATACATACATACATACATACATACATACATACCATTTCTATGCTGCCCCATTCGCAAAAAGCCTCGGGGTGGCTTACAACATTAATAAATAAACATAAATATTTTTACGTTTTGTTGTGAGCCGCCCCAAGGCTTTGTTGTGATGGGGGCGGCATAGAAATGTTTTAAATAAATAATAAACAAACAGTTATATAATTAGACTTTAAAAACTGGAAACATCTCGGCACATACATAAAAACCCAATAAATACAGTTCATAAATTAACAATTAAAATAACTTTTAAATAAAAAGGTCTTGGCCTGGTGCCGAAAAACAAATAACGACGGCGCCAGGCGGACCTCTCTGGAATAGAGACAAATCCCCCAGAAAATTGGGTTTTAAGTCATAGGGACTAGCACCTTGGGCCCGTGAAAAGAGGTTTGGTGATGGTGAGCTTAACCTGTGCTGAAGTGCCCCAGGAGGGTCTGAGTGTGAGGATCACCCCTCTCTCCATTGTCCCAGTCCTGTTCCCAGTTCTCAGTGCCAGATTAACTTCCACGGCATAGCATGTCCATGCATGCTTGCGACCCAGAGAGTCCCAGCCAGGCTGAGCTCGGAAGCATGTCTGTGGGGGAGAGAGAGGGAGAAGGAAGGGGTGTTTGTGCTTGGTCTCCGCAGCTGGTGTACAGCTCCCACCAGAGGGGGCGGGCAAACTTTTCCTCTGCTGTGAGTGTCTTCATGCTCAGCTGTGCATGTGATCCTTGGATTTTCCTTCCTTGGCATCTGTCCAACAGGTGCATCTCGGCCAGGTTCCTCTCACCCTCGCCTGCCACCGGCAGGGGCTTGTTTCACCCCGTGTGAGACACGGGGCTGTTCTCTGCTCTGCTCTTGGGCTGCGACGCTGGAATCCCTTTGCACTTCTTCTGCTCTAACCTCCCCTTCCCCTTTCGCCTGCCATAACTTGTATAACTTCATTATTTTCCGTGTCTGTATTTCTCTTCCCCCTCTCCCTTCCCCCCCTCCCCACTTTCCTACAGACAGACCCCAGCCGTAACCTCTCGGTGGTTCTCACTCTCTACCTTGATACTTGCTGCTCGCTTAGAGAGACAGAAAACATCAGAGTGCAGGGAAGCAGGGCAAGGCACATCGCAATCTGAACCATGACTGAAGAAGCCGGGGGTCGGGGCATGGCTCACGCTTATGCACCCTAAACCAGCTCCGGTAGCTTTTCTCCAAAGATTTTTCTGCAGGGATGAGAAAATAGTTGTAAACAGGACACTGCTCTGCTTTGCAGACCGGAGTTGGCCAGATATGGCCACCGGCTGGTACCTTTTCTCCCTTCCGGTCATCCTGGTATGATTGGGGGTCATTTTCCCACAAACAAAACCCCAGACGATTGTGATTCCTCTGTGTTAGCAACAATAGCTTTTGTGTAAAAAAACCTGCGACTTCACAGCTTGTTAAAGTGTATCTTCAAAAAGGAAAGACTTCATGAGACTTAGGGAAGATTTCAACATTGGCTCCGGGGCAATGTTGTACTTCTTGGTGTTTTCTTGTAGGATGTGGGCTTAAGGCCCGTCTTAAGAGGGAAGCCAAGCCAAACTGAGTCTCCTTTTCTGGCTTGGTTGCTTGTGGATGCGAACAGCCAGAGGAAAGGCACTTCAGCACCATCTGGCACAAAGAGGCTGTTTTGAGCAACTTGACAGAGTCAATCTTGTAGGAAAGGCCGGTTCCCTCCTGGCCCAAGACTACCTTCTTCCGCTTAGGATGATTAGAACTTAATAAAATGCACTCAGATGCAATTTCTGCCTCTCTGGCCTTGCATATTCCAGGTGGCAACGTTCCCATCAAGTTCCTGAGCAGGTGTGCTTAAAGGAAAGGTGTGATCCAGGACTTCCACCAAATCCATCCATCCAAGGCAGTTACGCCTAAGTTTGTGCAATGGAAATGGGTTGCTCTGGGGCAGAAGGTTGGTCCCCAGGTGTGACAGGACTAGAGAAGAGGGTGGGTGGGGGAAGACACTCTTGGTTCAGCTGTGTCAAGAATTTCAGGGCTTGGCCAGCATTCACAGATGCTTTAGCCAGTGTTGTTCCCCAGGCATGCATTTCTTTTGCAAATCTTGGCCATTCTTGAAGGACCATTTTGCCTTTGTACCTTGAAGGAGAGATGCAGTGGGTGGATCCGCCCTCTTGCACAGACTCTAACTGGTGCTTCAGGCCCTAAGCAGAGAAACCGTAGGAGAGCAGGTGGCTTCTAGTCATGGAAACATTCATGTACAAAGGTGAATGCACATACTGTTTTTCTACAGTCTTCATGTATTTGCTAGACCTCTTTTCATTTTGGTACATGTGCATTTTAGTGTCCCTAGGAAATCATCACATCATTTTTATTATTACAAAGATGACTTTGACATCTTGAAATACCAATTCACAGTGGAATCTTGGCACACCACTGAGTCCAGAACTGGCTTGTTCGAAAGAGTAGGGTTTGGACTTAAGCATCGAGGCCACGGGGTCTCAAAATCACGTGCAAGATTTCCAGAGAGCCCCAACGTGTCAACCACGAGGCAGATCTAGTCAATTCTTCTGGTGGCGAAACAAACCAGCGACTTGCCAGCAGTGAAAAAGGGTTTCTAGGTTCACATGTGCCCTTCCTCCAAAGCGGCAAAGGAGAGGGACCACTTTTCCTTGACGAGTTCATGCTTTACTAGGTGGAGAAGCCTATTATGCATGTAGGAAATCAATTTCCATGAAGGAGAGTATGCATTTTCAGTAGCCATGCAGCTACTGACAACCCGAGAGAGCGCAGGGCATACACAGAAGCAATCAACAGCTGCTTTATCTCTGAGGGGGTAACAGAAGGGTTCTCCCCGCTGATTTGGCCTGTGCCGTCTTGGCTCGTAGTCGCTGTGGACATTTTTCCACCACACCTTGGCACCGTCCCCCTCCCTCCCCCCTACCCCCAAAGTCGCTACTCTGCTCCTGACTAACCCCTGTGGTGAACCTCAGCAGTACAGATGAGGCACTTTCCCTGGAAGACAAAGATCTGAGGGACCGGGAGAGGCGGATGGCCAATAACGCCAGGGAAAGAGTGCGCGTGCGGGACATTAACGAGGCCTTTAAAGAGCTGGGGCGTATGTGCCAGATGCACTTAAAAACAGACAAGGCTCAGACCAAACTCATCATTCTTCAGCAAGCAGTGCAAGTCATTCTAGGCTTGGAGCAGCAAGTACGAGGTATGACACAACCCGGAGGTCGCTCGCTTGTGCAGGCGGGCGGCTGGCGGTCTCCACGCGCGGGGTCCGCACGGTGCTTGCTCGCATGAGTGGCTCTGCCTGTTCTTCAGCCTTCGCTCCGGGTGCTGGGTCGAGGGTGCTTCCGGGTGGACTGCGGCTGCCACAAGGACTCTGCTTTGCTTTCCCACTTGCCTTTTCCACTCCTTTTTTCGCTCTTCTGCATCTTGGGGAGCAGAAGGGAAGGGAGCAGGGAGGCAGCTTTGGCGAGGTGCTCGTCTTCGGCTGCTTCTCTTCCCAACAGCTCGTGTCGCTCCCTTTCCTTAGAACGCAACCTGAACCCCAAGGCGGCCTGCTTGAAGCGGCGCGAAGAGGAGAAGGTGTCTGGCGTGGTGGGTGACCCCCAAATGGCGCTTTCAGCTGCGCACCCCGGCCTAGGAGATGGGCACAACCCTGTGGGACACATGTAAAGGTATCTTTTCCTGGCGCCTGTTGGGGTCTTCCTCGGAAATGCGAGCTCTTGCACGAACTTTTTGGCACAGACCCTTGCAAAGGTATTCCCCATGTGCCAAAACGTTTATGCAAGAGCTCGGCCTGTGGAGCCCTGGACTTTTTCCCAGAGCCCTTTTGAGTGTCCACGGACAGCAGTGAAAGATTTTTTGGCTTCACGGCATTCCACCAGTCGGGGGGAGTTTGCAAGGAAAATTGCAGCCAGCAAGGCAAGGAACTGTTTCCAAATGCTGATATTTCCTCTCTCCTCCCTCTCCAAAATAAAATTGCTCCCTGCTTAGTAATTCAGCTTAGAAATAAAAAAAATTTATGGGAGCCCAGAAAGCCTTTCTTTTGAGATTAATTGCTCAAGGAAGGACCAATTTTCTATAGGAGGAAAAGAGAGAAGAGGAGGCAGAAAAGGAACGTGACGATGTTGTTATTTCGTTCCTATCTTTCTCTGGGCAGTTCACAGCAGTTCCAAATTCATTGTACCTGTTCTTGCGGGATGGGGTGGAACTTAATCCATGGATGAATTGTTTTGAGGTGATTTGGATACAAAATTAATTGCCTGGCTTTGTCTTCTGTGAGATGTAAATAAATCCTTGCCGTTATTTTGAAGTTTGCAGGTACAGGGTATGTTATGCACATTCGGTCTCAGCCCCAAATCTTTTAGGTTCTTAGCAAAAACGCAAAGTGGGTGGGCCGTGATGGCTTGGTGCCAGAGGCAGGAAATCTGACTGTTGGTGAGCCACCACAAAGACGGCCCCAGTTACTCCGATAACGATCTCTGAGCCTGAGCAGAATACATGGCCAGACTTGGTTGGGAGAAGGTGGTGAGCTGTAAGATTCCTGTAATTGCTGCAGCCGCCTTGCAGGCACCCTCTGTACCTGCGTCTGGCTGGGGATTTGATGGGAGATGCAAGTCAGAATGTAGAAGCAGTAACTGAGCATTAATAACCCCAAGTCCAGACCACAGATGAGTTCCCCAGAGTTTCCAGTTAAAAAGTTAACCCTGCAACTCTAAGCCCTCTCCTGCTGGCTTAATTGCTGCATCTTATTTATGAGAGTGAATGTTCCGGTTTAAAGTGCTTTGGGATCTTAAGTTTTTCAGTTAAGATTGGTGGCTCCTGAACCATCTGTATTGGTCAGTTGTCCTTTTACCTGCATTCTGAATATGAGCATTTGCATTCCAAATTCCACTGCATGCCCTTACAGGTCATCTTTCGTTAATGCCCTTGAAGACGGTCCGGATACTTCAGATGGTGCAAAAGAGAGCAGCCAGGTTGCTGACGGGGGCTGGGCATTGTTCTTATATAACCCCAGTCCTCTATCAGCTCCACTGGCTCCCCATTGAAGTCCGGGCCCAATTCAAGGTGCTGGTTATCACCTATAAAGCCCTAAACGGCTTGGGACCTGGATACCTAAAGGAACGCTTTTTTCCATATTTGCCCTGAGATCGGCAGCGGATGATCTCCTCTGGGAACACTCCATGAAAGATAACAGGAGGCAAAGTACCCGGAGGAGGGCCTTCTCTGCGGTGGCGCCCCGCCTGTGGAACGCGCTCCCCAGAGAGGTCCGCCTGGCGCCGTCGTTATTTGTTTTTCGGCGCCAGGCCAAGACCTTTTTATTTAAACAATATTTTAATACTTGCTGATTTTATTTATTGGTTTTAAATTATTAAGCCAGGATGTTTCCAGATTTTATATGTATGTATGTCTATAGATATGTATTTATATGTTTGAAGCCATCCTGAGGCTTATGCAAATGGGACGGCATACAAAAATTCCACATAAATAAAGAAATAAATAATGCAGCCAGTTTTGCCACAAGAAACAGCATCTGTCGGACATCACTAGATACAGATATAGAGACGTGTATTTATCCCCCACCCCTTCTCTCTTCATAGATCATTTCTTTTCTTCATGTGGAACCAGACGTCTGTAAGAAGAAGGGGAAATCTGTTCTCACCCTCACACCCCCCTGCTGTGTGTCTGCACCTGAAGCTGTAGTCCTGTTTAAATACCGACACACGGCTGTGGAAGTTCAGTGTGCTCCAAGGAACTTCTTTTTTTCTTGAACAGAAAGAAAAAGCAACAACTTTATCAAAAGCAAACAAAAAAATTGCCTTAAGTCTATATTCTGGAATTGTCAATGCATATCCTTGAGTTACCCAGAGAGAAGTAGGGGCAAGGTGTTACAACTGGCTTGCATTCACAAATGGCCAGCAGAAGAAATTGTGCCTACGCATTTTTCTTTAAAAAAGCAAAAAGAACATTAGTTATGATGATTTTTTTAAATGTAGAACAAACATAGTGATGCCTTTGAGTTTTTTTAAAGCTTCTTTTGCATCTATGTTTTGTAAGCAACAAGAAAAAAATTGTGTAAAAGAGAGAGAGACTTGGTTCCCCCGTGTTTTTTTTTTTTTCTGCTGCTGTTTCTATAGTTTAAGTTGGATATTTTTTATTTGAGATCAACCAGAAAAAATAAAAGTTAAGAGACTGGATGTTTAGTAAAATCAAACAAAAAAGAGGGGTGGGTGAGTGTTTGTGTTTGGGATCTGAGAAAGCCACAAGCACCAATTTAGCTAGGCAGGCTAATAAAACTTTTTATAAAATTAGTACCTTCCAGGATAAAGCAGGATGTGCCGATTTCATCTCTCTCACTTTTGGCTACTTTGAATATTGGAGACCTGGAAGGAGAAGTTAAGTCCAGCAGCAGATAGTTCTTCTGTCTATCATCTCAAAGGACATGACCAATAGCGATGCTTAAAAATCTGATATTTTGTCCTGCCCTGCTCCCATCTCCACCCCAGAAATATTTGTAGTCCCATTTTAATGGGAGGTGAATGAACTACAATAAAGAATTTCTTTTTTGCGGGGGGCATCCCAACCGAAGATGATGGTGTGTCTGAAATAAGACACGTCAAGTTGCGGGAAAACATAGACTTAAAGAACAAGGTGGAAGAAGCTGGGAGTACATTCAAAAAGGGGGAATGCCGTTTTTCAAAAGTGTCTGAGCAAACAAATGTGGGAAAAGGGTGTGGAACAAGACAACCAACTCTCCCATATTTGAGACAGAACAAAGACCCCTTGGGGGAGAAGAACAAAAGCACCAGGAGGGTGTGTCCGGCAAGGAGGCCCCAATCCTTGAGAGGAGGTTATTGCGGTTCCCGCACATCCCAAAGACAACGGGCACGTGAGCTCTCACCGCACTGTGAGACTCCCGGTCCGTTTGAAAAACGCTCTTCCGCAGCATGCGGGTCAAGCCGTCCCATCCCAGGCGGACTTCGAAGGGGGCTTTTCCCATCTTGTTGTAAACAGGAAAACGCCTGGTCTTGGTGTCCCCTCCATTTCCGGATACATCATTGTAGGGTTGTACCCATACTGGTGTGGATGGGGACAGGGAGGCGACTGGGGGTCCCGAATCCAGTGGCCCAAAGGGGTTGACTCACACGGTCTCTTGCTTTCCCATGTGGCTGCCTTGGCCAACTTTGGCCTCCCGGTTCCAGAGGGACAGGGCTTGTTTGTGGGATGTTGCCGCTTCGAACTGTGAGGGGGCGAACATGGTGGAGAATACCAAGCCTTCTGCTGTGGTTCCTTTCCAACCTACACTGCCTGAAATGCCAGAAGAGAAACCTCTCCGGAAGGGTTCTCCTTTGGGGGGACGTTGCTTGTGGATGCTATGAAAGCCGTCCCTCATCACAGCCATGAGAAGAAGAGGGCTGCTCTTGAATTAGCCAAGAGGGACCTCCCACAGACGGCCGAATTGCGCCAGTAGTCACATCCGTCATTGCTTTGTCCCAGTTGCGGCGTTCGCATTTTCTGACGGTGCAGTGTTTCTCCTGATGCTGCCTTGGGGGAGGTTTTCGAAGGAAGGAGCAGAGGAAACCCACTGCCAGCACTACAAGGTCCCCAAAGAATGCTGCCTGCCTTATTCCATCCCTTTTTCTATACAGATGATTGCAGAAACCACAACATTCTCAACTTGGGTTGAAAAGAGCTTTGCATATCTGGAGTGGGCGAACTGTTGAATATCTCTGTAAAGAAACCATCTAACCAATTCCTACAAGTGCCAGATCCTCCCAGATGGCTTCCAAATCTAACCGCTCCAAACAGACTCCCCCCCCCCACACCCACACCCCTTTTTAAAGTTGTTCATTTCTTGGTTTTGTTTCAGTTTGTGAAAGTATTTCTGTTCTGTCGAAGGCGAACTTGCCTTTCTATGGATGTGTCTCCACTACAAACTCTAAACTAGTTTCAGAGCAGTTTATCTAAAGGAGTCCTGCAGCTGCGTTAATTCCCTTGAGGCTCCGCTTCCCTCGAAGTGAACCCCTCTTCCTAGCCATTATAGCTAATTGGGTTTGAAACCAGTTTTAAGTTTGTAATATAGATAACATCCCAAAGGGATAATTTATTTTTGTTGGGGATGGGGAGGGGAATCAAGGTATTTTTGAGACAAGAAGGGACAACCAGCAAAACAACAAAAAAAGTCTTAGGAGAAACAGCATCAAGGGAAAACTTAATTTTTTTGTTTGTTTGTTTGTTGAAAAAAGTATCCGGGTTCAAGCAATGCAGAGAACAAAATGTAACTTGATTCCCATTAAGATATATTTTTTTAGGAGGGGTGGTGGGCTGTGTATTTTTCAGCCCTTTTAGACTATTTGGTGGGTTCCTTTTGTTATTGGGGCTTTTTTATATGAGAAACATAAAAATGGGTCCTTGCTTTTTGTGGGGAGACCCCAGTCCAGTTACAGTTGGCCATGGGTTGAATCCTATGGAAACAAAGTTTTTTAGGGGGTTCAAGTCATATTTAACTGCACTTGGATTGGGGCCTCGGTGTTTTGCTGCCTACCATGTAAATCCAGCTGTACGTAACAGGTTGAGATAACTTGTTATTAAATCAGATACACATTATAGTTTTTAAAGATATATATATAGTATAAATATATATATAAATATATGCCTAACCCCAATAAAAATGGAAAAAAGGAAAAAGGTATTTGGGGGAGGGGAGGGACAAGATGGGGGGGAAAGATTTTTGGGACTAAATCACAATTTCTGGGATGGGGAAGCACGGGGCTAACAGTTGTGTTTCCGAGTGCCTCAAGATACGGATTGTGTTCATTTTTTTAAAAAAAATAATTTTATACAAGTGTCAAGAAAAAATACCGCTGGCTGGATTATTTGGAATTTTTAAATAATCCTTAACTTTTTTAAAAGTAGAATTTTGAGAACTGTCCTGTATATAACAGTAAGGTAGCAATAAATGTGACATTTTATAACAATATTACCTTTTTTTCTCTCCCTTCCCGTATCTGTCTTTCAGATGTTGTATACCTATCGATGGAAAAGTTGTAATAAAGGGTTTACCTTGTACTAAACCTGCTTTCTCACCTTTGGCTTCATTTCTGCCCCCTTTGGGCTGAATTTTGGGAAATGAAGGATGGATAGTAACACACACACCCTATTGTAATGAGGCTTATCTTTTTCAGGCTAAGTGTATAGCAACTAACGACAATGACAAAATTTGAGAATGCACTTTCAAAAGAGAAAAGATTGAGCACAAGAGGTTGCATTTAGTCTGATCTTGACTCGTTTGCCATAAGAAAATAATGGAAAAAGAACTAGTGTGGTAATTTATGCCTCAGTAAAATGGTTTAAAAAGGGACACAGATTCTGAATGCTGCCTCTGCTAATTTGAATGTAAAGATACACAGAAGGAACCAATTACTGTAATCTAAATTGGGTGGGCATCCTCTAAGAATCGTTTGCATATGCTTCTCTAGCTCGACTGAATTTGCTGGTATGGTAAGCAGCAGGAAAACAGCATTTTTCCGTGAAAATAAGGGTCATGGTGGGATCTTTGAAAGCAAAATGTTTGCCCACATTGAGAGGCCATTTATGCTAAAAATGTTGTACCTGAGATTAACATTGCTTTTTACTGTTTTACCCATCTTCCCCATGTTTGGATACTTCCAAAGGCTTTTGATATTTAAAGGCTTAAAATCCTTTGGACAAGATGCTTTCTTTAATGCTAGTACTTAAAACTTCAGTGCCATTGTTAAAGAAAGCTTCCTTATTTAAGAAAGATGCAGGTAAATTTGAAAGGGTCCAGAGGAGGGTGACAAAAATGACGCAGGGTTTGGAAACTGCCCTGTGAGGAGAGACTGAGGGAACTGGGCATGTTCAGCCTTAGAAGAGAAGCCTGAGGGGGGACATGGTATTCCTCTGTAAGTCCCTCAAAGGCTGTCACAGAGAGGAAGGTCAAGATCTCTTCTTGCTAATGCCAGAGCATAGGACATGGAATAATCAATTCAAGCTGCGTCAACCCAGATTTGGGCTGGATAGCAGGAAAAGCTCCCTCACTGTCAGAGCAATACAAGAGTGGGACCAGCTGCCTGGAGAGGTGGGGGGCTCTCCCACACTAGAGCCATTCAAAAGAAACTGGGCAGCCACCTGAGTGGGATGGTGTGAACTGGTGTCCTGCAACAGCAGGGGGTTGGACCCGATGGCCGCCTTGGCCCCTTCCAACTCTACTATGATTCTATGATTATCCTCTTCAGGCTGAAAATGCCTCGTGACCACAGATTATACCCCCCCCCCCAAAAAAAAAACTCCTCTAGGAATAACTTTGATTAACTTGAAACCCTGCAGCGGTTGACCAGTAGATGATATTATAGTTAGTGGTGTGCTGTGCTGGTTGAAGCGTTGGACTGGAGATCCAAGATATCTGGGTTCTCGTTCCTGCTTGGACGTGAAGCCTGCTGGGTGACTGGGCCAGTCATTCATTCTCAGCCTAGCCTGCCTCACAGGATTGTTGTGGAGATAAAGATGGAGACCAGTACTATGGCTAGCTTTGGGTTCTTTGCAAGAGGAAGATAGTGGGACAGGCACAAACTTGTAAGAGTCAAAATAAGCCAGAGAAGTTGCAATATTCCAGCTACGGTTCCAGCAAAGGAGCAAAACTCCAGCAAAGCTTAAAGCTCTTTTTGCCAGTGACCAAGTTTTCAAATTCCAACTTTTTTTTAGAATGGAAGCCACCAAACAACTGATATTCCAGGGAAGGGATGGAGCCACCAGGGAAGCCCCAGTGGGCCAGATTTGGTCCATTAACTTGAGGTTCTGCAATTGTTGACCTAGTTAAAAACTGAATCTATTCTAGGAAGCTGATCCTAGAACTAGAGCTGGGAACTGGAAAGATCTCAAACAGTCAAAAAGAAATCATTCTTTTATTAAATTTTCGTATTGCCCAATAAGCTGAAGCGCTCTGGGTGGCTCACAACCATTTAAAATCTATCTGAAGCTTAAATGCAGCTGTTGTTATTCTTCGTGGTCTCTGTGCATCACACATAGGGGCTAAAGTCAAGTCCGACCCATCACGACCCCATGGACAACATTCCTCCAGGCTTTCCTGTCCTCCACCATCCCTCGGAGTCCACCCAAGCTCACAGCCACTGCATGAACATTTACATAAATTAGAATCCCAGTATAAAATGAAGCAAAACTTTGCAGCAGTACAGAAACTGAAAATGTTCTGCAGAATTGAAAACTATCTGAAACTAGAATTGCTGTGAAAATAAGACTGTCTTCCCCTGGCCAGGCACACTTTCCCTGAGAAGTTCACTCCATAGTTGGTGGTGGAGGACACCACAAAAAAGGCCCTGCTGTATATGCCACTATCAAATCTGTCTGGAAAGAAGCCCTTCCTCCTGAGCACACCTGTTTGTTGGACTTTGAGGGAGAGGGCAGAATTTGGGCAGAAACATTCAAAGGCACCAGCAGGAGAACCCAAAGTGTGCAGCTTCCCCAGGGAGCACAGAAGTTACAGGAATGTTGAGGCTCCCTGGACCCTTTCTGCTGCCTGGCCCCTGGTCTGCAGGGGAGAGGAACACATGACCTGCCCAGCTGCCCCAGCCCGGGTGCGAAGACCGGGTGCAGCTTCGTTTGCAGATCAGCAAATAAATTAATTGCAAGCCAAGTTAATTGGAAATGTAGTCAAAGATCTTCTGCGTCCCAGGCAGGCAATGGGATAGGCGCCCCTGTGGAAAGCCCTTCAGGCAGCTGCGCGGACAGCCTCCGTTCTGCGCCCTGAGAAACAAAACAAGCCGCGGGAGCCCCATGCGGAAGGGCTATGGATGACGACATCCACGAGCGCAGCGCATGCGTGCTTAGGGGAGACGGGCAAGAAGGGCGGCGAAGTTCGCCTCAAAGACTTATATTTAGAGTGAACATAGACTTAGATTAGGGTAGACTAGACTCATGTACTACGCGACATGTTTTCTCCTTGCGGCGGTCACACATGTGGTGAGCTGCTCATTAAATTCTAAAACAAAGGCCAGTCAAGTGGCATCTGAATTTCTCCATTGACTTCTAGGCCCTTCTGTCATTCTCTCGAGGAGGAAGAGCAGGAATGGCGCTCCCAAAACAAAAACAGAAATCGGACACGTGTAGAAGCGTCTGCTGGAAAAGTCTATGGGTCAGCAGAGCTGGGCGAGTCACCCGCAGCGCGGCACGGCGCATGCGCGTCTACGGCGGAGCGCGTCGCGGAGGCGGAGCTCGGCTTCGGGAAAAGCCCGTACGGCGGAGTGCGCATGCGTGTGGGGAAGGTGACTTTCAGGGGGGCAGCGCGATGCTCAGCAAGCTCGTGGCGCCGCGCTACCGGCAGCAGTTGCGCAACTGGTGAGTGGGGGGGGGGGACTGGCCTTTGTTCGGCCCCGCCCACCGCCGCTTCGCGGGGTAGCCCCCCCGCAAGCTGCGGCCCCTCCTTGGCCCGCTTCCTCTTCGCCTGCAGACGATCCCCGCCCGACCTCTCCTCTGGAAGGGGCGCGGGGCACGGAGGCTTCTCCTTCCCAGTCTTCAGAAGGCCCCAAAAGCGAGGTTTTGCTTGGGGTGGGGGTCCCTCCCGCATTGGCAGCCCCTCCTAGGCTCCCTTTCCCCTCCGCTGGCCCTGGTTGGGTTTGCACCTCTTTCGAAGGCTCTCCAGTGGCATACCTGGCGGGTAAGGGAGCACCTGCCAATTTGCAAAGCCCCCCCCCCAAGTTTCAGAATAGAAGGAGACCCTCTAAAGCACCCCAGGCGAGCCAGGTAGGATCAGGGCTGCAGAATGCTAAGCAGCTGTTGCATGCGGGCGCGGGGAGAATCCCATAGACCAAGGGAAAGGAGGCCATGGTCGGCTGGAGAGGTTTCCAGGAGTCCCCCGTGCTGTGATGCTTTGCTTGTTTTTATAGCAGATTTATATCTTCTTAAAAAAAGAACTCCAAGCTGTTTACACCATTTTTCTCCCACAACAACAATCCTGTGAGGTAGGCTGGGCTGAGAGACTGGAGCAAAGTCGCCTAGTTGGTTCCATAGCAGAGCTTGAGCTGCAGCCCTGATCGCTTAGCCTGGCCAAGAGCAGCTGATGGAGGAGCCCCTTACCAGAGTGGCTCTGCTTGATTGAACCCAAGGGCCAGCTGGATCGCCCGGCGCTTCTCTGGGTGTCTTTGGGAAGCCCACAAGCAGGACGTGGAAACAGCCCCCTACCTATCTCTGGCCCACTCCTTAACAGCACACTGTGCCCATCCATGGAGGTTCTACATAGCCACAGCTTGCCCCCTTGATGAGACCACTGCTGCTGCATGAGTTTGGCTCTCCCCTTAGCCTCATGGATTAGTGATGTGTTTGTGCATGACTTCAGCAAAAGGGAGAGAGGGTGGAATCTTCCAGGACTTAGCTCTCATGATTGGATGATTTGACCTTTGGAGTTAGGACGGAGTAAGAAAATCTCTCCCCACACTGTTGCCTATTTTGCATAACTGTTATAGCACCTATTATGATATTTTGCGTAGCTTTATAAATGTCTGCTATTGGTATATCCCATGAGCTTTTTTCAGAATCAACTTAAAAGGTCCTTTCTGGTTGGAACTGCAGCCCTTGCAACTTAGCTTCTCAATAGCATTTCCATTTCTTTCCACTGGGTGGCAAAAGACTACAGTTCTTGGTCTCCCCAGTGTTAATTATTTTTTCATGTTGTTCCCAGTGGCTGTGCTCATCAGAAGAGACCCTCCTGGTGGTACCCAGGATTTTGGAGGCCTGGTCCATCAATGCTCAAAATGGACCTTTAAGTTCTCAGGAATCGCCCACCACTGCAAATTAAGCCGGCACTTAATGGTGCACATGGCAGGAAACAAACTGGATCTGTTCACACTGCAAGCCTGCAAGACACATCATTAGGTTTGGCAATGTTGCAACTTTGCAGTAGTCCTGGGAATATAAACTGTGCTATGAATCGCCTCTCTTCCTCCCCCCTGCAGGATGCCTTCAATGGCCACGTGGTGCTCAGTGGGCGTTGTGGGGATGATATGGGTCACAGACTGGAAACTGATCCTCAATTATGTCCCCTGGATCAACGGCAAGTTCAGAACAGATAACTGAGCGGGGTAAGGTTTCAGCCATGTGGCTTTTCTCTCGGTGGAGTTTTTTCCCGGCAGCAGTGCAGTCTTTCACTTGGGGAGGGCGGTGGTGGTCTTGTGTTATGCCAAGAAAGATCCCCCAGCCCCTGCCCAGTTCTAAGCGTGGAGCTGGGGAGGGTAACAGGAGATTCATCCCTGTGTCGGACACACACAACCCCCCTGCTGTTCAGCAGCTGCTGGCGGCCAGAAGCTGTCATCGCTGATTGCTCGGCCTCTTGATTCTGAAGCCCGTAGCATGGATGGTTGCACTGAATCCATAAGCATCCTGTGCTTTCTTCCTCCCCTCGTTTCTCTCCTTCCTTTCATTCCTCTCTGCACGCCTGTTTACCAGTAACCCAACAGGGTTCTTGTATCGCCTTTCCCTCCCTTTCCTATCTACCGCCTTGTAGCCCAGGGGGTGCAGAACCCACGTTCAGAACCATGTCCAGGAGCTTTTGGTGCCCCGTTGAACTGTTTCCCCCAGTTACCCGTCTCTGGGTGCTGTCAGGGTTCAGGAAAGCTCAGGGCTACATGCCTGTCCCCTCCCCACTACTGTGGGGCAGCCCCCCCTCAGGGAATTGGATATGGGGTGTGCTTGTGCCTGGGTGTGCCAAGGAGGATGCAGTAGGGGCTGCTCGGAGAGTTTGCTTGCACGCTTCTCTGCCTCAGCCTGAAGGCTGTTGCAACCTGTGCAAAGCCGGGGCTGCTTGAACATACATAAAGCTGGGGTGCAAGTGCATACAAACCAGTAGGTGGCAAGCGTTATTTTCAAATAATGGAATCTAGCGATGAGTGTTTATTCCAGCATAGCACTAGGAGATCCAAATCCAGCTAGGACAGCTTTCTGTAGCCCTTTAATTTATTAAAGAAATGAAGAAAGAATAAAGTTTCTCAGGCCCCAGCAGTCAGTCCTTTATTTATTAGATTTATATGCTGCCTTTCTTCTTTCTTCTTTCTTTATTTAGGAAGCTTCTATGCTGCCCCATTCGCTGAAGCCTTGGGGTGGCTCATAACAATAAATAATCATAATATAATCATAATATAAAAACAATATAATTTGAGACAACCTGGCCAGAGATATAGAATAAATAAATAATATTAACAGTTAAAATGACATTTAAATAAAAAGGTCTTCGCCTGGTGCCAAAAAACAAATAACGACGGTGCCAGGCAGAGCTCTCTGGGGAGCGCATTCCATAGATTGGGCGCCACCACAGAGAAAGCCCTCCTCCGAGTACTTACCCTCCTAATATCCTTCACGGAAGGTTCCCGGAGAAGGGCCTCTCCCGCTGATCTCAAGGGGCAGGCGGGCATATATGGATGTAAGCGCTCCTTCAGGTAACCAGGACCCAAGCTGTTAAGAGCTTTATTGGTCATAACCAACACCTTGAATTGGGCCCGGACTTCAATGGGGAGCCAGTGAAGCTGACGGAGAACTGGAGTCATGTGAACATAACGCCCAGTCCCTGTCAGCAGCCTGGCAGCTCTGTTTTGAACCAATTGAAGTATCCGGACCATCTTCAAGGGCAGCCCCACCTAGAGCGCATTACAGAAGTCAAGTCGGGAAGTGACCAATGCGTGTGTCACTGTTGCCAGGCAGTCGTTCTCCAGGTAGGGATGCAGCTGATGGATCAGCCGAAGCTGAAGGAAAGCGCTCCTTGCCACCGCTGTCACCTGAGCTTCCAGTGAAAGCTCTGGGTCAAGGAGCACTCCCAAGTTGCGGACCCTGTCCCTAAAAGGGAGTGCAACCCCATTCAGGACTAAGTTCAGGTGCCCTTCCCCAAACCCTGATCCACCAACCAACAGGACCCGGCCTTGTCTGGATTGAGCCTCAGTTTACTGGCCCTCATCCAGCCCATTATCTTGGCCAGGTACCGGTTCAGTACAGCCACTGCATACCTGGATTGATAGAAAATGAGAGGTAGAGCTGGTTATCATGAGCATACTGATGATTCCACAGCCCACACCTCCTGCTGACCTCTCCCAGCGGTTTCATTAGATGTTGAATAGCAAGGGGGACAAAATGGACCCCTGCAGTACTCCATGGCAGAGCTGGAACTCCATGGCATAGCTGCCATGGCACAGAGCCACAGTCCCCCAGCACCACCTTCTGGAATCGGCCGCTGAGATAGGAGCGGAACCACTGCAAAGCAGTGCCTCCGACCCCCAATCCCGCTAGCCTATCCAGAAGGGGTTGGGCCTGTGACATGTTGAGACAGCCCCATGGAGGCCATGAAGTCCTGAGCTGCCCCAGTCAGAACAGTCTCGGCATGGAGATTGAAGTCCCCCAGGACGAACATCCTGGGGGTCCTCAACACCAGGTCCGAGATGGTCTCTGTCAGCTCAGGCAGGGAGACTGTTGGGCAGAAGGGTGCACGGTGCACCAACAGAATCCCCAATCTGTCTCGGTCACCCGACACCAAGTAGAGGCACTCTAGCCCTAGCCTCGAGGGGACTGGAAGCCCCGTGAGGGAGATGAGGTTCAGTAAACCAAAGCAACCCCCCTCCCCTCCCTTCCAGGCATGGACGGTGCTGGACCAGATACCCGGGTGGGCACATTTGAGAGAGGGCGACATCCCCCCCACTCCCGCCCAGGTCTCTGTTATGCAAGCCACGTTGGCCCCCTCATCCACGATCAGGTCGTGGATGAGGGACGATTTATTGTGGACCGACCTGGCATTGAGCAGCAGCACCGTCAGGCCCGGGGGGCGGTTGACAAGACTACCTGGAACCCTCTGGCTGGGGGTAAAACCAGAAGGAGGGACAGGTGTCAACCATCTTTCCCTCCTATGCGGACACGTTAAACCCCCACTGCTGTAACGTCCGTTGCCCATGACCACCCCAATGGCAGCACCCATGGGCTCCCCAGGTAACTCAACCATCGACGTGGCCAGGGACAACTCCATAAAAACAGATTAAAATACAATAAAAACATTCAAACTATACAAACTCCCCGTCTACCCCCCCGATATAAAATTCCACCCACTGACAAAGTCCCTCGCCAGCCCAGCCCCCGCAAGGCCGCAAATGGCAACCGCCCTTTGGCCGTCACCGTTTGGCCACTGGCCCCAGGCCTCGACCGGCAAGTTAAACCGGCACCCGGCCGCACCCCCCCCCGAATCCGGTGTTGCTCTCACCGACGCCGGCGGGAGGGCGCAAGGACAGGCGCAGGGAAGCCACCGGCCGGCCGGCAAGATGATGATGATGATGATGATGATGATGATTACATTTCTATGCCGCCCCTTGCCGAAGCCTCGGGGCGGCTTACAACACAATAAAATACATTGAAATACAATAGAACATAATAAATTACCACTAAATACAAAAATACAAAAAATACCCTGAGATATATGGCAAGGTGGCGTCTCCCTCCTCAGCCGCGACGGTGCCCAGCGTCCCCATCCCCGGGATGGACTAGCGGTGGCCGTGGAAGCGGCGTCAGCTGGCCCTCGGGCCCGGCGGCGTGCCTCAGGTCTTCCATGGCGTGGGCCTCAGTGGTGGCGGCGGCACGGCAGGTGTTGCAGGGAGGGAGGGGGGTCCGATCCGGCTTTCAAGCGGCCTGTGTCGTTCTGCTCTCCTCATCCCCACAGCAACAGTCCTGTGAGGAAGCCTGGGCTGAGGGGCTGTGGATAGCCCAGCTGATGGCATGACTAAGCGGGGACTATGAGCCAGGTTGCTGACTAAAGCACTACACCATATGGGCTCATTATCTCTCTGTTTATCGGAAATGCACCCCAATTAACTCAGGAGGGCTTCCTTCTGAGAAAATAGATGTGTTGTGCTCTAATTTTCATCCTCTTCTGCTCTTCCACTTGCTGATGTAACCATGCAGCGTCGCTTTCCTTTAAAAGCGTGCCCATGCCTGTTCTCTCACTGCCTCTTCAAACTCTGGTGTTTTGCTTAATACCAGTCCTAATTACGAGTTCCGCAGCCACTGGAAGTTCGCTTCGTAATTGCACTCGGGAAATAAAGCTGCTGCCCAGCTGCAGGTTTAGCAATTTGTTGACAAAGTAGCATTCCCTTCCCACCCTCGTGAAGGTGGGCATGATCCAAAACAGGGGTGTTCAACCTCAGAGCCAGTTCCATTCTGGGGCTCTTGGGGGCTTCCAGTTTAAGGGATGGGGCCTAAGAAGCAAACAGACTGGCAAGTCTTAGCTTTCAGCTCTTACAGCCAGAATATTTTCGGTTCCCAAGATGTCTTTGCTGGCCACAGCCATGCCGTATCTTGATTGCAACCTAGCATGGGGCCGCCTTCCCAAAACTGTCACTGCTCATCCAGCTGTCCCCGGACAAAAATTCAAGTGCTAGTCAAGACCTCCCTATGACTTGGTGAGAGGCTCTCTGAAACACCACCTTTTCCCATACAAACTGGTGCAGTTCCTAAGATCTGTAGAAGAGGCCCTCCTCCTTATCTTCAGGGTCAGCTTCGGTGGCAGCTCGAGAGAAGGCCACTTGGGTGGTCGCTGCCAGTGGAGGGGGCTATATTTGTTCCCTCTCTCTGATCTTTTGGCAAGCAAAAGCCGCTTTATTGGAGAACCACTGACTGTATTTTTAATTCTGTACTTAGTACCTTGTTGTTTCTTAACTGGCTTGACTGCCAGGTTTGGTAGGGAGGTGGGGTACAGCTAAATGAGTTAAAAGAATCATTTCAACCTTTTAGCATGGGGAAAAGGCTGCATGGAAGCCAAGACCAGTGGTGTAGTGGTTAGAGCGTGGGACTGGGACTCAGGCGATCCGGGTTCAAGTTCCCACTCAGCCATGGAGCCAACTGGGTGACTTTGGGCCAGTCACAGACTCTCAGCCCAACCTACCTCACAGGGTGGTTGTTGTGGGGATAAGATGGAGGAGGAGAATGATGTAAGCTGCCTTGAGCCCTTTGTAGGAAAAAGGCAGGATATAAATCAAAAATAAAATAAAATAAATTGAGAAAGCCAGACAGACACCTGCAACTGCTAAGGGAAGGTGGGGTGTCCTGGATCCTCAGAAGGAAATTTGGCCCCTGGCCTGAGGGCTTTCATACTTGATTTGAAAACATGCGGTCCTTGCTTCAGAAATACTGCCTTTATGCTATGTTAACAGGTAAACGAATTGAATAAAATCATGTGGTTAGCTAATTTTAAAAATGCTCATGAGCTTGTACCTTAGGAGAAAAATTGGGGAGGGAAACGCTAAGCAGGGTTGGAATATCCAGTGGGAGTCTGTTTAGATGACTCTTGTTCGGCCAAGCAGTCCTACAAATAAATCCTCCTTTTTTCCCCTCTTGTTTTGTGCAGGCCAGGATGCTTTCACTCTGACCAGCTCCTTTAGCTCGTGAGACTTTCAAAACACCTGGTGCCAACTTCTGTGAGATGGAGTGATCGCTTCACATCTTACTGTTCAAGAAGGGAATAAACCTTGCAAGATGGTCCTGTGAAAACAAGAAAACTTTTTGCAGCATGTGGGCCTGTGCAGAACTGTAGAATGTTGTTTGTCCCTGTTTGATGTGATGGGTTTCACCCAGGAAGTTGGCCAATTAAAGTGATCCAAATACAAAGACATGAGTTAACGTTCAACTCTGTGCATGCGTGCGTGTTCACACCACACCTCCAAAGAGTGCCATGTTGAGGATGATATTCAGAAGTGTAAAGTGTTATGCTTGGAAAAGAGGCAAGGCCAACCTTCCTCTTACAAAGGTTTCCCTCACTTAGTACGTAGTTTCTATCTCACTATCTCATTCCATCCAGCAGTTTAAATATAACAACTTTCATACTTTCAGCCTCTTTGGGTTTAGTCTTTAGAACCCAGAAAATGTTGTTGTTATCCAGCTGGGCTGAGGCATGCTAAGATGCTAAGTGTCTTTCCAGCGTGCTAAGATAAATTAAGTGTCTTTCCATCCCTGGCAGTCTAAGGAATCCAGCAGCAGGGTGATGGTCTGTTGTGTTTCTGCTGATGACTGCTTGTTAGCTCACCTGATTCCAAAGCAGGTGGCTCACCCTGGGAAGTGGCTTATGTAGGAAGGACCTTTTTTATTGGTGGAGTAGAGCCTTTCCAAAACATACTCTTGGTGGGCAGGATTATTTTATTTGCAGTATTTTTATTCTGTTTTTCAGAGGGAGAAAAGGTGTCCTTGGCAGGAAGGGGGAAGCCAGCCTCCTGCTGTTCCTGCCTGGGCTGGCGGATGCTCTCTTTCTAGCTGTCTGGCTTGATGTTACTCCTGGGAAGCAGGAAGGATGGGCTTTGCAGGCCCTGGGTGCTGTGGTAGAAGCTTACCTGAAATCGTGGGACTGTTTTAGTACCTGAGCCATCAAACATGGAAGCAGAGATTTGCATGAGCAAATGAGAGCCCTCCACAGGCAGATGGCAGTGGGGCGGAGGAGGTTGGCGGCCCAACTCCACAAGGGAGAAGGGATGCTCACAGCCTGCCTCCACCTTCTGTCAGTCTGTGGCTTCTCTGCAGCCTCTTTTGAGAGAGAAGGAGGCGGAGTGAGTCTACAGACACAGAAGACATCCACCATGTTGAAACTCGGCAGGTGTGGTCTGAGCTGGGAGGGTTTTGAGTTCCACCATGAAAGAAAGGTGGGGCATGAATACAATAAAAATCTTCATATGGTTTCACTCACTAACTTCTGCATCATGTTGAAAGGGGCAAGTATACCCTGGCTTGAACTTAGACAGAGCGAGTCAGAAGGGGTCTCCCGGGCCATCTAGTCTGACCCCCGACTCCAGCTGGCTCCGTTCACGAGTTGTTAACTTCATGCTAACCATTGGTTTGGAAAAATGTGTTCAATTATGGAACACTTAATGATTAGCAACTCTGGAAGGATGGGACGCACGATAAATAAGACGAACAGGCCAGGTCCACATGTTCCTGAAGTTTTCCACCACAACAGCACCATTTTTCTTGGTCAACTCAGATCCCATCAGCATCTGTAAAGTTGGGATGTTTTCTTCTGGTGTGTATCATTTGCAACATGCACCTAAGGATGTAAGAGCATGAGAAAAGCCTGCTGGATCAGGGCCAGGTCCACCCAGTCCAGCACTCTGCGCACACGGTGGCCACCCAGCTGCCCACAGGCTCCCCCAAGCGGGACGGGTGCAAGACCTCCTCCTGCCCAGCCCCTCAGCAATGGATGTATGCAGCTGTGCCACCCCTGGTGAAGGGGGTATCCCATGGCCCCTGCTCATCCTACCTGACCCCTATACCTGCGATGATGACTCAGGATCACTGAAATGAAGGACCATCTTCCCTGGAACTGCATAGCCCAACATTGGGGTGTGTGGGGAGAGTCTTTGCATGTGGTCCCTGCAAGGAATGTGGCCTAGGAGGCTACACATGCGGCAGAGCCTTCTCAGTGGTGGTACCCTGATGGTGGAACTACTGTTAGAAAGTCGACTGCCCTCTGCACTGCTGTCATTCAGGCATATTTATTCAGACAAGCTGTTGCGGTACAGGCATCTCTCTTCTGGTGCCATAGGGATGGTTTTCTTGCTCTGTGCATGTCTAATTTTAGAGTTCTCTTTTTGATGGCGTATTTCCGTATGGGTTAGTTGTCCTGGGCATCTTACGAAGCAGAAGCAGAGAGGTGTGAGATGAAGCAGCCAGATTCTTGCAGAATAATTATGATGGGTAGAAAACTTTATGCCGAAGTGATATACATGGAATGAACCCCCAATTCCACCCAAGAACCTTGGCACAAACAGGAAAAATATCCCTGTTTCTTGCACGTGTGCAGGGCCAGCCTTCGGTCCCCTGGCTCTGTCCAGATGGCAGTGCAGACTGCAGCCTACATATCTGGAAGGCTGGACTTGTTTTGAAGGCTAAAGGGAACTTCCCCGAGCAGAGGCAGTCTTTACAAACTGAGAAGGGCTCTTGTTTTCCTCTTGCTGCTTGTGTGCTGGGGACAGGATATTGCGCTAAATGGTCCATTTGGTCTCATGTAACATGATCATTCTTGGGTGCTTGTAGGCGCAAGCAGTGGTTTTGGCATGCCTAAGCCCAGCTGTTCACATCATACATCCAGCTGCAACATGGAAATAACACAACTTGCCTACTTCAGAGGACTACTGTAAAGATTACTTAAATAAGCCACCTGATTTGTGTTAGAGGGAAAAATAAAACCAACAAGGCTGAAGGAAAATCTATAGGGTGCAGCCATAGAAAGAAAACCAGGTCACAGCAAGAATGAACTTTGATGTCTCTACACCAATGCCCAGAGTATGGGAAACAAGCAGCATGAACTTGAGCTCATAATAAAGGTAAAGGTAAAGGTTTCCCCTCGACATTAAGTCCAGTCATGCCTGACTCCAGGGGGTGGCGCTCATCTCCGTTTCCTGGCCGAGGGAGCCGGCACTTGTCCGCAGACGGTCTCTGTGGTCGTGTGGCTGCATGACTAAACACCGAGGTGCACGGAACGCTGTTACCTGCCCACCGAAGTGGCACCTTTTTATCTACCTGCATTTGCATGT